ACTGCTGGAGGAAAATTGCTCGTGATGAAGGAAGCAGAGCTTTTTCAAGGGTGCATGGTCCAGTGTTCTCAGAGGCATGGGTGGTGCTTTGGTGCTTGTCTTGTATGATGGAATCAAGGAGTTCACATAAATTATTTCGTAGTCTTCCTCCCCCCAACCCCGTGAACAGGCATGTTGTATTATGTAACACGTCTTGAGCATTCTTGACAGACTGTTGTTGGCTGTCTAGTCATCAATGGCAACTATTTACTGGTTGAAAATGGGAAGCAATAATATCATCTGACCAGGTTTCTCTTAAAGTCATTTTCATGGTGATGATGGGACTCTTATATTTTTTATTTCGGTCACTCCTGATAAACAACAACTCTGAAGAAATAAAAAAATCTGAAAAATAAAAAAAATCTGAAATTTAAAAAAAAGTAGACCTTCCCTGGGAGTATCCTGGCAAACTTTCTTTGGTGTAGTTGCTCAGAACTCTACCATCAAGCATTACCGACAAGAGAATTTGCTTGCCCCACACAGAATTCATTCCCCAGGGCCAGCCTGTATTCCAGCTGTACTCAGTTCAACACAGGTGAGTCCTGTAAACAAGAATTAATGCAGGGCTGTTGATGGGTTGTCTCCTGGATCTGAAGTCCTTTGATTCTAAGTGCTTGGCCTTTATGAGGCTCCTGTGTTATCCTGTGGGACTCATTGCATTCTTCACATCTCAGCTGAGGAAGTAGTCAAGAGTAACATTTTTTTAAAGGAATGGCTTTACATTCCTGAATGAGGAAGGAAGCAGAGAGGGTTTGGAAATGGGTGGATTTATTGGCCAAGAAACAATGAGCCACTAAGTCCAGTAGATTGTCTGTAGCAAAGTTCCCACCACTGACCTGCCTGCTGTTGCTCTGACAGGGAGCACAGGAGATTAAGGATCACTTCCCCTTCCAATTATGAGGTCAGATGCCTGTTAACTTCCTCAGCAAATGGTGTTACTTCTGCCTGTCCACGCTACAGCATCAGGTTATTCTTAATATGCAGAATCTGTTTCAAAGCAGTTTGATAAGATATCAGATAACAAATAAGGACTGCATTAATAATGGCCATGTTATTCAAAATACACTACGTGCTAAGCACTGAGCCAGGTCCTGGGGAATACCAATACAAAGCAACAAGGCCCTAGCCATTATGAGATTGACATTCTGGTTGAGAACAAATGAAACAAATAAAACAAGCTCTAAAACAGGTGTGTGTATGGGGCCAAAGAGTAGGCGTGGCCACCCTGGCCTGAGAAGAGATCAGGGGAGGAGGAGAGCCTAGAAACAAGAACAGGTGTTTTGTTCAATGTTCTGAGCTGCATGAGCCAGGAGAAGCCATTGGTTAGGAAGGGCAGGCACTGGGGGTATGGTGCTGAGTGTGGAGGGCTCTCTGGGTCATGCTGAGAAGTATGGACTTTATCCTGTTGGCAAAGTAAGTTGGACATTTTCTAAAGACAAGTCTTAAGATCATGTGTATCAAATTGTTTCTAAATTTTCCTCTCAGAGGTGAAAGATTTCACTTTTTCAATACATTGAATACATATTATGAATGTTATTAATAGCTAAATTACAGCTTTGCTGTAAACCACATATAACCTAGTTTATAGCAAAATGTCTAAAATGCATATTCTGATTTCTAGCGATTTTAAATAAGATTTAATGGTTTAAAATATTAAAAAATTAATATTTGCTAAGACATTTCCCAATTTGTATCAACTTTTCTGCAAGCAGAGACAGGGACTTTGCCAGAACTCTTGTTCTCCAATAGTTTACGGAAGTATTTGGGGATGATTCTTCCCACAGTCCCAGGCAGACCCCTTGTGTATCTGTGGGAAACCAGAGGGAATCTTCTGACCCGAGCCAGCAGCTGGTGCTGCCTGACTCCAGGAGCCAGTCCTCACTTCTTCAGGCTTTTGTTCTGGTGTCACCTCATCACTCACTGGGCCTCCTTCAACTGACCTCTTTAACCCTGCAGCAGTTGTGACTGATCTGAGAAATACAAACTCTTTTCTTAAATATTACTACATGTATCAGGCGCATAGGTTCAAGGTCAGGACTACCCACACATTTGTACATGACTAACACAAATTGAAAGAAATTCTAATGGTGACACAGATACAGCTCCCTCGACAAGCAGAAAAAGATGTGTTAGGTGCAATACATCCAAAATAAGTTATCAAAACATTTTTGCAAGTGTTGTGAAAAGTGTTTATGCCTTGAGCACAGCAATACTGTTTGTGATGACTGTTACAAACATTGTGCAGAAACAACTATTGAAGATCCTGATGAACATTAAAGACATTTTTTGCTTGTATTTTTTAGCAATATCTGTTTCCGCAGTTTGAAAAAAGTTTGTTTTTATATTTTATTCATTTCTACATTGTAACTGAAATGTTTTATTATATAAATATGATAAATGCAAATTTGAAGTTTAAAAAAATTTCACATTTCAGCACATACGAGTAATGAGTCTATCTATCATATACTCGACCTATGATACATTGTAATTTTTTCAACCGTGACCTCTGCAGGGTTAAAACTACAGTCCCTGCTGGTTCTAATCTTCCTTACACTGCTTTTTTAAATACTTACATATATTCTTCTATCATACCATGTAATTTACCAACTTATGCTTGTTTTTTATTATTGCCTGTCTCCCCATACGAGAATGTCAGTAGGGGTCTTGGTGTGTCCTGCTCCCTGGAGCATCTCAGCCACCTAGGACAGGGCCTTAGAGAAGGCCTAAGTTCAGAGGCCAGTGTCTGAGCAATCAGAAAATATGCTCCGAGACTTCTACACTTGGTCTCATTGACCACACCTTGTCACTTAACAGAGGTGAGTTGTTAAGTCAGCAGTGACAGTCTTACTGAGCTTCTTAGAGCAAAGCTGTTCATACCTGTTGATGTGTCTCTAGCATTGAGAGTGAGAGGCCATGGCACCCTTTGAGGGTGACCCTGAGAGGCTGTTAGGAGTCTAGGCCATGGAACAGCAGCAGAGGAACGCTGGCCTTTGGTTGCAGAGGACCATAAACTGACAGTAACACATGGTGTTCTTTTGAACAGATACAAGAGTTTGGTCACAGGGACCCGAGCGAGAGGAGTCATAGCTGTCCTCTGGGTGCTTGCCTTTTGCATTGGACTGACCCCTTTCCTGGGGTGGAACAGTAAAGACAGTGCCATCAACTGCACAAAGCCCTCAAACAGCACCATGAATGAAAGCTGCTGCTTCATGAAGTGCCTCTTTGAGAACGTGGTTCCCATGAGCTACATGGTGTATTTCAATTTCTTTGGCTGTGTCCTGCCCCCACTGCTCATAATGCTAGTGATCTACATCAAGATCTTCATGGTCGCCTGCAGGCAGCTTCAGCGCACTGAGCAGCTGGACCACTCACAGACCATTCTGCAGCGGGAGATCCACGCCGCCAAGTCCCTGGCCATGATCGTTGGGATTTTTGCTTTGTGCTGGCTACCAGTACATGCCATCAACTGTGTCACTCTTTTCCAGCCAGCTCAGGCTAAGAATAAGCCCAAGTGGGCCATGAACATGGCTATTCTCCTGTCACATGCCAACTCAGTTGTTAATCCCATTGTTTATGCCTACAGGAACCGAGACTTCCGCTATACTTTTCACAAAATCATCTCCAGGTATGTCCTCTGCCAGACAGATGTCTTCAAGAGTGGGAATGGGCAGGGGGTTGCACAGTCTGCTCTTGACATGGGCCTATGACCTAGGCTCTGTCCTCTTCAAGAAGGCACAAATTCACAATAAACCAAGGGACAGGACACAACTGGCTGATTCTCATCGTGAAAGACAGGCAGGCCTCAGGAGCACATGGGCTGCCTCTTGAGCACCCCCCCGGAGTTACCACATATCTAACATATACGTGTTATCTGTAGGGCTGACAAATACACTCTTACTGTGCGGATAAAACTGATGGCTTGACTGGATTGTAAAAGAACATTCTGTTTTGTTTTTAAAGTCTGCCTCTCATGGTAGAAAACAAAACTATTTTACTGTGAAACACTGAAATATTATAATACATTTTTTAAACTTAGAGGCAATGGAAAAATAAAAGTTGGATGTAACGAAAAACATATACTTATTTCTAGGAAGGAGACCAGAAAAATTAAATATAAATCTTTTTAATTTTTTAAATTTATTGTCGTTCAAGTACAGTTGTCTCCATTTCCCCCAGCCCCACCCATTCCCACCTTCCACCCTTGATCCTACCCTCCTTGGCTTTGTCCATGTGTCCTTTATACATGTTTCTTGATAAGTAAAATTATTTAATCAAGAAACTACTATGTCAATTGATGGAAATGATACTCTCATAAGTTCTTAAGTAGAACATCAGATAATAATTTTGGTAACATTCTTTTCCATGTGTATCAAACTACCCTAGAGAAACAACTAGAGAAATGGGACTCTTCTTCTACCAGATTCCATTTCCCTCTCCTGGAGTGAGTTCTGAATTTTACTTCTCTCCCAACTTCAAGTTTTACCTATTCTCTGGATCTCAAAGTATGAAATTTTTATTACCGGTAAGTAAAATTACAGAACTGTGTATGATAAATGAAATAAAAGTTAAAAAGAAAACAAGCTTAGGGAACTGCACGGGCTTGACATACAGAGCTGTTAAGTACCTTCCTATTTTTTTTGAAAGATTTTATTTATTTATTGTCAGAGAAGGAAGGGAGGGAACAAGAGAGGGAGAGAAACAGCAATGTGTGGTTGCCTCTCACACGCCCCCTATTGGGGACCTGGCCTGCAATCCAGGCATGTGCCCTGACTGGGAATTGAACCAGCAACCCTTTGGTTCTCAGGCTGGAGCTTAGCCCACTAGGCAACACCAGCCAGGGCTGCATGTATTTTCTATTCTTTATCCAGCCCAAGTTTCCCAAGTAGCGTAAGTCTTGATAGCTTTTGTCAAACTTCATTGTAGCAAAAGGTTCTGCCAACCACACAACACTGCACCATCTGTGGCCTTTTCACACAGCATTCATTCACTGGCACCTTTTGTTTCAGGGACCCAGGGTTGGGGGTTTCCTGAGCTGTAGAATCATCCTTTTCATCTGTTTGTTCACGGGGCTTCAATTGCTTCTGCAATGTCCCTGCAAAGACAATGCAGGTCTATGAACCCTCACAGAGATAGCAAACTCCTGCCTTTCTATGATCTCATTCTGGATGGTCAGCTTTACCTATTAAAGAGTTCTTGTCCTGTGCTGAAATCTGACATTTTCATGTATCATAACTCCTGTACATTCTCTTAGGGTCCAAACAAGTCCCATTTTCTACCTTCTAACACTCCTCTTGGTATTGCTTTCGCCTTTTCTCTTTCAGACTAGACATCCATAGTAAAGCTGCTTCCAGGACATGTGTTTTGGTCCCTTCCTTCATTTGGCTTGTTATATAAAGCCCAGAAATGCACGCAGAGCAAAACCAGTACTTCCTCTGGTCTAGGCACTACTGCTCTAATAGCCTCCTTAAACTAGTTTGGCACCAACACCACAGATAACCTGAAGCTCTGAAACCAGAACCCCAGCACAGCAAGTGTTTTCATAGTTGCTGCTGGTTAGTCACATCTCTACTCCGATCCATTTTTGCTGTGAAATAATTTTTCTGAATCCGAGCTAAAGCACTAACACTTACTCATCTGAATTTCATCCTACTCGGTTTTGTCTACCCTTTCAACTTCTTAAAAATTACCGTATTTTTGGACCATAAGACGCACCAGATTTTAGAGGGAAATAGGAAAAAAACATTTTGAAGCAAAACATGTGGTAAAATATTTTATAACATAAATAATATTTCACCAATGTAAATGTAAACAGAACTCAACAGAAAAGTATTAACAACCATTATTCCTCCCAATTTGGGGGGGGGAGTGCATCTTATAGTCTGAAAAATACAGTACTACTACTTCAGTTACTTAATCTAATTGTGAACAAGACATATATTAAGCATTGAGTCTAAAATGCTTGATTCCATCTAAAAATTTTTTTTTACCCATGGAGGTGAGACTGGTTCAGATTTTCCATGGACACCTGTAAAGGGCTTCAAACCATACACACATATTGGGTTCTAACCCACAGTGTCTTCTACAGTCCAGAAGGAAAAAACAGACCAAAAAGTCTGTTCAGTTTTTTCCATAAAATAAAAGTTGCATTTTTCATTTTCACTGATAACTTTATTGATTTGGTATTTTGAGTATGTTGGTGGCTATCTCCTGTGTGGTATAATGTCGATTGTTCTCAGTTAATGTCTTGATTTCATCGCTATCAACTTCAACTGGTCTACCTGGCCACGGAGCATCGTGCAGTGAGAAATCTCGTGTTAAACTTCACAAATCACTTTGACACGTTCAGTCAGTCACAGCACCTTCTCCACACATAGCACAAATCTTTTTCTGCATTTCAGTTGCGTTTTTTACATTTCTTGAAATAATAACGCATACTATGTCAAAAATGTGTATTCCATCTTCAATATTAAAATGGTTACACAAAAATTCACCAATTTTTTTTCTTTAAATGCACGCTAATATGACAGCTGTCACAATGCAATCTAACCAAATCAGTAATCTAACAGCTTAACCAAATTGTTTTGAGTGAAGTTAAAGACAACTAAGCACTACTAGAGCCATCTTATGGAAAAAAACAAACTTTTTGGCCAACCCAATATATCTATTTTACCTCTCTTCCCTGTGAACCATAGTAAGTTAAATACACCTGTTTTGGGGACTTCTATTTTATAAGATAATGATGCTCAATCTGTACCTTTTATGCTTCTTGTTTCTTCTCCATCAATATGTCAGTCAACTGCTTGTCTGAGACGCTAAGCTGCTGACAGGTCCCCATAACCTGACTGAGATAAACTGCCAAGAGATGCTTGCACTGGAACACAAAACACACAGACCTGCTGGACACCGGCAGAGTCAGGCAAACCAAGCCCTCACTATCGTCACACCGAGCAGGGAAGGAGTGGGCACACAGATTCCGGGCCTCGAACTCACTGCTTAAAAACTGCAGATAAAGAGGGACAGATGTACCCTTTCTAGAAGTCAGAGGGCACAAAGAAGTCTTACTTGGCTGTTTTGGGAAACAGCCTGGCACAGGGTATATAACCAACACAGGCTCCTCATTTTAGTCCTCAGTTGTTTCTTTACCCCTTGCCTTCAGAAAGCTATTACTAGCAACATTCCTTGAGGTACTGTGTGGTTGGGTGCTTTACAGAGATTATTTCTTTTAAATCTGATGAGTCACCTATGAGAACAGCTCTTTGCCTGTTTTAACCAGGTGCTCACAGCCTACAGTTGACCCTTTTCACCACCATTATACTCCTGGGGGACGGGATGGGGTGAAGGGGTGAGGGTGGTGGAGCCTTCACATACACTGACCTATATACACTCTGGGGAGGGGCTCCAGGCCAGACCTTGTATCACAGGACACACAGCTGTACATACTGAAGGGGCCCTGGTTTAATCGTGTCATTTGACAGGTGAAACAAACCTATGGCACATAAGCTATGAATGTGGCCTCTCATAAATGGGATACCCAACTGGCCACCCAGTTCCCAAGATGTTTAACAAAGTTAACAGTATAAAAAAAATGGGAAGAATGGAATGGATGCTATAATTTTCTTCTTTGGCAAGATTTGGAAACAGCTGCCCACTCTCAGGTGGGCAGTGCTTTCTCCTCAGGATCAGGAGCTGCAGTATGTCCTTTTCCTTGCTTGATGCTCTGGACTACTGTGAAATTGGCAAAAGCATCAGCGTGCCCTCCTGTCTCATGTAAAAGTCAAGCAGGGTGGCGTGCCAGGCGGTCTAACAGGCAGTGAGAGGGAACACCTTGTGACTGGAGTTGGGGATATGCAAGGCTGTCGACATCACATTTAGTTTATACTTTTATTGGCCTATCTAATTCTCCAGTGCAAACTTATTAGTTCCCAGCCTTATGGGATTACTTTGTCCTCCCCAATGCTTCATCTATGACCATTTATTTATTTATTTATTTATTTATTTAATATCCTCACCCGAGGACATGCTTATTGATCTTAAAAGAGGTGAAGGGAGAAAGAGAAGGAGAGAACCACTGATCAGCAGCCTTTTGTACACACCCCAACCAGGGACTGAACCCACAACCCAGTCATATGCCCTGACCAGGAATTGAAACCATGACCACTTGGTCTAGAGGATGACTCTCCAACCAAGTGAGCCACACTGGGCCGGGCTTGTCTATGACCTTTGAAATAAAAAATTGGGGTTCATGTATTTCTAAAAATGATAGCATTTTGGGAGGGTAAACCCAAAAGAGATGACTAAAGTCAAGGACAATAAACAACTATCTGTTTCAACATGTAGTAAAGTTCCCATTTTGTACAACTGCTAAACAATGAAGTAGGAGCCAACAATTTCTCTCCTGCCTGGAATACTGTGGGCAGGGCCTCCCCCCTCACCAGCAGGCTGTCACTCTTCCGCAGCACTGAGAAGGCAAAGGCAGGACAGGAGCAGTAGTGGCAGGAAGCCAAGCATGTGTACATTTTACCAGAACTTCCAAGTACCTAGAAAGAAAAGGACAGATGGGATCAAACCTCCAAAGGTGTAACTGCCTCCTTCCCTTGAATTGATTTGTGAACATTTTTTTCAAGTTCCCTTGAATTTATCTGGTGACTCATTACTCTGCAAATTGCACTGGGAAGAACTGCAGTATTGTTTTACAAAAAAGTGGAAACTACTTCCCTGTATGCAGACCCTTCCCTCGTCTCAGTGCTTTGCCTTTGAGTACTTCATACAATGAAACTGAGGAGTTTCAGTCCAAACTGTCCACACAAAGCATTTTGTTTCTTTGGTTAGTGACTTGAAGGGCTGACTCTGTGGGATCACTACAAAGAGGCTGGGGGTGGGGCACTCTCCTCCCTCATTTACACTTTACTGAGGTGTTTCTTACTTAACCTGGTATTTCTCACTGCACGTGTGCAGATTTCTAACGCTTCCACCAACACACCTGAGAGTATGAAAACAGGTGAAGGGTATGGAGAGAGACAGAAAGGTCTCTGAAGGAAATGGGAAAAGTCTTTGAAAAGCATTTGAGAGCAGCAGGGAGAATAAAGAACTTTGCAAAAGGGATGACTCAGCTGCTTAGGATGGAGGTCTCAGAAAAAGAGGCAAGCCCAGATCTGCCTATTCATCTAGCAGGATGGAAGGAAAATACAGATACATGAGGGGCTGGGAAGAGGCCCAGTCCCAAAACAAACAGCCTTGTTGGCAATCAAGGAACAAAAAAAAGAAGACGGGTAGGGAAAACATGGTGTATCTGTGACAGGCTTATTGGAGAACTTGCTTAAGTCTCTATCACAAAACAGCCCAAAACAAAAATGTTGAGTGCTTCGTTCCTGAAGTTAATTTCCAAACTTGAATGTAAAATGAGCATCCAAGGGAAGTAGAAACATCACAAGGGTTATTTTACAATGAGCTGCCATTTAGGAATCTGCCACAGCACTTTATAATTAATTTTAGGCTCAAGATGGCAACCTAAAATGAAAAGGGCAGGACTTTTTTTTATTTTGAAAAATATTACAATGCCAGCACTCCAAGGATTCCTTCCTCTGTTTCCTCCACAAAAAATAAAGCAACAGGTGAGGCTTCAACCAATGAATCACACTGTACAAGCATGCCTCTGTCAGTTGCCTGGTGGTTCACAATGTGGCCATTCACTATGATTTTTGACCAACTCAGTAGAATTCCTCAGGGGTTGCTAGATTACCAGAAATGGCCAGTGACTGGGTAAGGAGGATGCCTATTATACCCATTCAAAATTTCAGCCTTAGTTACAAATTAGGTATCAAAAAACCCCTGCATCTTACATAATTTCCATTCTCAAGGCACTGATGTTTTAAAATATCACCCACACCACTGAGTATCGGTGAAGGAATTTCCCCAGTGTGTCTTGGAAAACCTAAACTTAAGGGAGAGTATTAGACTATTTTCCACTTAATCCTAGAAGAGAACCCATCAACATCCAACAGTGACATTAATCCTTGGGTTTCCAAATTATTGCCAACAAATGACTTTAGTTATCTCCTGATCTCTCTAGATACAGAGTTAAGCAGGCATAAGCCCCTGGAATTCCACATTGACTTGACTGGTCCACTGGTTCCTTCTTATCATGGGTCCTCAAACTATCAGAATACTCCCTGGATTATGTTGAATAAATAAATGCCTAGCGACTCAGAGATGGGGAGGAATTCTCGTTTCCCTTGCCTGATCCTTTCAAAGGTCGGCTAAGACTAAAAAGACAATGTTTAACTACCTGAGGCAGTAAATACCATAAAGAGATAGCAAATTATGAATTTGCTCCTTCCTCATCTAGCAGTGGACACCTAATGAACCCAATAATCAGGAAAAAATCTGAGTCAGAAATGTTCAAAACTGGAAATTGACTTTAGGGACCATCTAATTTAATTCCTTTATCCTTCAATAGAAAAATGACCTCTTACAGGAATTGCTCCCAGCCCTCCCACTCAGAGTCTGGAATATATCCCAGGAAAGAGAGCTTTTTAAAAAAGAAACATGCAGGGAAGAGGCCACCAAGGCCCATGATTGGACCTGTAGGAATGTCACTTGGAGGAAGTCCGCTGTGGCTGCAGTGAGGTTCTAAGGAGGGTCACCCACCTTAGATGCCATCCACTCAAAGTACATTGTTTAAAACCGTCACCCGAGGATATGTTCACTGATTTTAGAAAGTGGGGAAGAGACATTGACTGGTTGCCTCCTGTATTGTCCCTGATGGGGTGGGGGGTGGGGGGGCAGGGGATGGAGCCCACAACCTTTTGGTGTACGGGATGACACTCCAACCCAGTGAACCACCCTGTGCCAGGGCACAGTACAGTTTTATGACTGCTTCAAGCCTCTCAGGGCCAACCACAGTAATAAACTGCATTCTCTATTGTTCTCCATGTTCGGTGCCTCTCTCTGAAAAAGGATTATACATTCCTGCCCTATTATATACAGGCTAATTATGTGACCTACTTTGGCCAGAGAAATGTGAGTAGCCAAGCAGAACATTAAAAACTGGTGCATACTACAACCTCTTTCCCCTCTGTTCTGAGATCCACAAAGAGCTAGACAGGGAGGGGTTTCTCTGCGAATGGGGACCCCTGAGGACAGATGTTTTAGAGCAGAACTGCAATGGACTCTTAACAGACATGCACCATGAATGACATGTAAAATGTTGTTTTTTGTAAACCTTTGAAATTTGGGGGTCATTGTTACCACAGCATAATGTAGACTCTCCTGACACACATCTCCATTCCTAGGTGAATCAAAAAAGGTTTATAGGAAAGCAACTCAGGTGACAACAACATAATGGTGACTTTCCCATTTCACATAATGACCACTGTCCCTGGGGGACAGTGAGGATGTGAGAAGGCTGACCTGTGGGAGATAACCAGCAGGGTGGCGCAGCACCGTCTGCCACAACTTTATCATCTCGAAGGACCTCTGCTTTAAGCCAAATTCTTACTATATTACAATACAGTGAAACCATTATGGTTAATTTGAGGGTGCATGTAAGATTTCTACAGCCTCATTTAATTCAAAATCCAAGCTGAGAGCCATAATTTTAGGAGGTCAGCATTTTTATTTCAATTTGCCATCTTAACCATTTCTTTAAAAAGATTTTATATTTACTTTTTTTTTTTTTAGACAGAGAAGGGAGGGAGGGATGGAAACACCAACGTGTGGTGGTTGCCTTGCCTCTCACAAACCCCCTACTGGGGACCTGACCGCAACCCAGGTCTACGGGCTACGGGCTAACGGGCTACTGGGTAGCCCGCAACCCAGGCATGTGCCCTAGCCTAGAAATCAAAACTGTGACCCTTTGGTTTGCAGGCTGGCACTCAATCCACTGAGCCACACCAACCAGGGCGGAAGTTAGCATTGTCATGATGAATAAAGTGATGTAATATAATACAGGACGTGAATGATAAAAACAAGTCACGGTATCCTGGGAGGAACAAAAAGTCAACAATAAGTGAAATATTTCAAACACAATCTTTCAGATTTTAACTAATAACTAGATAATACAACTAGAGAACAGTTGGAAGTCCACTTGGGCAGGTCAAGTGTTATGCTGATACTGGAACTGGGACAAAAAAATGTGCAATTGAAAGACATGGGAAAAACTCAAAGGTCCTTCTTGTTCAGGATATTTTAGCTATGTAAAAAAAAACAACCCAAACAAAAATAAAAACACAAGGAAAGAAAATGAAAATACTGTGGCAGGGAGAGGTATCAGGGAGCTGGGACTTCCCCAGGGGTGCTTGCTTGTCCTCCAACCCACCTTGGCCAAGTGCCTGCCTGCCCAGGGTCTGCGGACAAGGTGCTGGCCACAGGCCTCTGCTCTCCACACTGATGGAGGTCCCACCGTGGCCCAGCAGAGAGCCCTGCCGCAGCACAAAGGGATATTGCTGCAGTCTTACAACAAGCTGCTCAAGGATGACATCAAGTCCATTGTGCACATCTTCACCAAGATCATCTGGACCACTGAGGTCTGAGCTGGCAAGTCCCTGATGAAGCTTCAGTCTGACCTCAAGCAGTTCCTCATCCTGAATGACTTCCATGCAGTGAACCAGGCCACTGAACAGCACAACCAGCAGCTGCCAGCACTGCAGGAGTGTGACTGACTGGAAGCTCATCACCATGCTGAACAAGATTGTCATCAACCTCTATGAGCTGGAGGAGAAGCATTACTCAACCAGGTACAAAGACTGCACCTGGACCTGCAGATGGGGGCCTGGCCCAGCCCAACCTGGTGCCCCAAAAGTCCTGTTTACCCAAGCCTGGTGTACACCACAGAACCCCGTGCCCAGTTTCAAGGCAGAGCTCCCAGTCAGAGCATCTGATCCAGACACTTTATATGTCCAGTGGGCTCCAGGCATTGGGATCAAACTCACAGAACTTCAAGGGTTGGGAGGTCCAGAGCCAGGGTTCCTGCTCAGGGTGCTGGCTGCCCCCTTTTGAACTGTCTGCTCCTTTTAGCTTAAAAAAAAAAAAAAATCGGCCCTGGCTGGCGTAGCTCAGTGGATTGAGTATGGGCTGCGAACCAAAGTGTCGCGGGTTCGATTCCCAGTCGGAGTACATACCTGCATTGCAGGCCATGGCCCCCAGCAACTGCACATCGATGTTTCTTTCTCTCTCTCTATCTCCCTCCCTTCCCTCTCTAAAAATAAATAAGTAAAATTAAAAAAATCAATCTTTTAAAAAAATTTTTTAATATAAATTTATTTATTTATTTTTAGAGAGGGAAGGGAGGGAGGGGGAGGGAGATAGATAGATAGAGAGAGAGAGAGAGAGAGAAACATCAATGTGTGGTTGCTGGGGGTTATGGCCTGCAACCCCGGCATGTGCCCTGACTGGGAATCGAACCTGCGACACTTTGGTTCGCAGCCCACGCTCAATCCACTGAGCTACGCCAGCCAGGAAATCAATCAATCTTTTAATCAATATCTAATCACACATTCCAGCCAAGGCTGTGCTAGCTCCTCTTGGCCACCCCGGCTATGTCCAGGATGCAGTGTTTGCCCAGGGAGGCAATTCCATGCGGGCATCACCAAACCCCCAGTCAGTGAGTGAGTGTGTGTGTGTGTGTGTGTGTGTGTGTGTGTGTGTGTGGTGGGGAGCGGGGGTCCTGGGAAGGAGGTGGTAAAATCCCAAGCAGAGGATGACCCTGAAAGCCAGAGCCCTCTTCTATGCCAGGCCCATGCTGGGCCCAGGGATACCGCAGTGGACACAGCCCATCACCCCAGCCCTCATGGGGCCACTTAGAATCCTGAAACCTGAGGCCTTTGAGTGAGAGGGGCCCTGAGAAAGCTCAGTCCAAGTGTAACTTACATAGTAGGAAACAGGCTACAGACTGGGAGGCTGTACACCTTCATCCCTATTAGCTTGGAAAATCCAGACTTGGCCCAGCAGACACGGAGCCCATGACCCCTGGTGCTTTCACCCAGAGGAGGCTGTCCGTCCTATGGTGGCTTTAAAGGCTCCTTTTTGCCTCACAGGAGCCACCCAGGAGCCACAGGAGTGGGGTGGGTGGAGGCACAGATACCCAGTGCCAGCATGGCCTGTGGTCTGGGGCTTGGATTCAGTGCCACCCCTCATGATCCCTGCCCATCTTGGACTCTGTGGGGATGCTATGTCACTGCCCAGCTGGAGTGGTTCTAACTTTTCCAGAGTATTCTGGGGATGCCTCTAGTCCCTAATACCCACTGGCTCAGCAGCCACGTGGTGATCACCTCCTCACATGCCAGGCCTTCAGAGAAGGATCCTGAGTGGGTTCCTGGGGGGTTCTCAGACCCTGCTGGGGACACTGATCATAGTCCCACTGGTTTTTAGCATCCCTTCACATTCCCATGTTTGTCCCCATCACCCCCAAAGGCCAGGCCTCTGGCCTGAGCAACTACAGGACAGCTATTCAGCCCTGCCTCTTAGGGGGGCAGTGGGGGCCAGGACAGCCACGTGGCAGGGCAGACACCTGCTAGGTCAGTGGAGGGACCAGCGGAGGCCACAGACCTGCATCAGCTGGTCCTGCATGGCTCCTCCCTTTAGGTTGCTAAAGGGCCTAATGCAGGGCGTCCCCACGTGCCCCCTGCTCAGCCAGGCCTGCCTGACAGTGCGCCTGCACAGAGGGGAGAGGCCAGGGTGGAGTGCCGTTTTCTTCACTGGGTTTCTGTCTCACTCTCTCCCCCGGCTCCCATCTCTCCCTGCTCCTGTCTCTCCCTGGGTCTCTGGCGGTGGAAAAGCTCAAGTCTTTGTGAAGCTAATGATCTGCCTCTGTGAGGAACTTACTGGAGGCTGGGCCTCGACACGAAAATTGCTAGTGACTTCTCCACCCCTCTGCTGGGACCCCCAGAGCCCAGTGCTGGCCCCTGGCAGGCCACTGCCCCTGCTCACTCCCATGCTAACAGCCCAGCCTTACAGAGCATGCCTGAGCCTCTCCAGGTACCCTCCCCCAGCCTCTAAGATCTTAGGAACAAAATCGGGTGCCCCTTTCTGCTGCCACAGCCTCACTCCTCTCTGCCTTGGCCCCCACTTGGGGAGCCATTCAGGCCTCCTTGGGAACCTTGCTGGCCCAGGGACAGCCAGGAGTGTGGAGGGAAAGAGTTCCTCCAATCATTTCCAGGGAGGCCCACTCTTTGTCCAGTCCCCTATGTTCACTACCTTCCTGGGCAGCTGGGTGGAAGAAGTTTCCAGAGCAGTCTGGCCTGTTGAGGACCTAGCAGCAGTACAGAGTGTGCCCAATGTCAGGCGACCTGACCTGAGCCTGCTGTTTAATGTGGGGAGGGGGCTCTGCAGTGCTGGGGGTGGGAGGCTGTGGTTCACACATAAGCCCAGCAAGCGGGGATCCTTCCTAGTCCTGCACACACATTTTGGTTATTTTTTTCATAAGAGAATGTTGAATAAAAATAGCACTGCCCTTTAAAAAAAATGAAAATACCTCTTGAGTTATAAACATTATTTAATAGCTCTGATTATTAATCTATAAATTCACCAGGAGAAAATTCTAACATACAGCCTCTTTTAAGTAAACACAATGCAAAAGTTATAACTGCAGCATTCAACACTAATTACCCCATTATCTTCAATGAAGAAATGCATGAAGACTTTGCCAGGTCAGCTACATTATGCTACAATGTTGAATGGCAAGTTAATTCACTAAGTAAAGGCACCTATTGCCCAAGCAAGCTTCACTTAAGTCAATCACTCACAAAACATTAACTGACATGGTCTCAGCTCTGACAAGTTCAATGGGAATAAGTCAGAATTCAAACACTGAATTATTTCCCCCTTCCTGGTCTTCATCAAGGCCTGAATTACATTTATAAGAGCTGACAGCTTCTTTTTAACCCCTTCTGAGCCAGGCACAAAATTTTGGAAAATAAAAATAAGTATTTTTATTTCCTTCACAACATTCCTGCCCCTCAATCCCAGTTTCATTTACCATTGTCTCATGTAGCTAAACTGGGGGGTCGTGGGGTTGGGTTCATGTCTGGCTTACTGTTGATATAAAGACCAGCAGTGTGGGATAGCAGTTACAAATCCCAGCTGCCTGCTGTGACTTAGTTTACCTTTCTGCATCTCAGTTTCCTGAAAGATGCATTGTTGGGCTTTTGAGGAGAATTTAAAAAAGCACATGAAAATAATTCAGAGCCTGATAAGAGGCTGTTACTTTACAAATCTACCTGTGTTAAACCCTAGACTCTAGGGCACAGGTGGCAAACACAAGGCCTGTGGGCCGAATCTGGCCCTCCACCTTTTTTTTTTCTGGCCTGGAACTGTGTTTCTACCCAGTGGCAGCGCTGAGCTCCTTGCCTCTAGTTAAGGAGTAGTTACATTTATACAGCCCTAAAATTACATTCGGCCCTTTGAAGGCAACCACAAGACTGATGTGGCCCCCCCGTAAAAATGAGTTTGATACCCCTGCCCTAGAGGTTGGGCAAGATTCAGGTCCAAGCAGACTACATTCAGTGTAGTTTGACCCTTAGTAAATATACCCTGAAAACAATTGTAAAAGATCATGTCTGATGAATATGAGCGTATGGAAGGACCTCAAAAATGCATTTTGGCTTCTGCTTATAAGCAAGAAATTATGAACAAGATGAAGATGTCAGCACATTTTCAGTGGGGAGGGGTTGGGGAAGTACCTCTACTATCAAATAATGGCAAACCGGAAGTCACCTGCAGTCCGTCAGATGGGCGAAAAGAGCCCCTCCACACCATTGGTGGTTCTATACAGTGCTATTGCGCAGAGTTAACAGGCCATACCTATCTTATCTTAATTACGAACACACTAATTTTACTATGTGGGGTCAAATGCTTTTCAACAGTGCAGGAAATAACTTAAGGCTGGACACCAACTTCCATAGAGAGTTTTGGAAATATTCTGCACCAAGGGGTTTCTGCTGTGATTCCCCCACCTCTAGATTTCTACCTGGTAAACATGCCTTCCACTGGGCGATGAGATTAAAGTGATGGACTGTCGGTCAACAAGGTCCAAGGCCTGGAGGGCTGATGAGCCAAAGACAAACTTCAGCCTGGGAAATAGAAAGGTTTTAGGTCAGACTGCCTGACTCTCAAATTCACTTTAGTAACTTGACCCAAAGGATGACCAGCAACACTTTAAAGAAGCCCCTTTTATGCCTCATAGTGCTTCCTATTCTTCTGAACCTTCCTTCATTCCTGAGACAGCCACAAGCATTTGTTGGTTTCCTTCCTAATAATGTCTTTGTATTTTATTACATTTAGTACGTATGTATGTATGTTTACACACATACACACAGGCATTATACGTATGGTATTGTTTTATAAATTTTAAAACAAAAGTGTATTGTAGGGTTTTTGGTAACTTTTTCCCTACTCAACATGCTTTAGAAAATGATGCATACTGATATATATATATGTGTGTGTGTGTGTATATATATATATTTTTTAATTAACTTGTGAATAATGTTTTATTGTATATATAAAAGTAATAGGTACACATTCTTCAGTTTAAGAACTCTACCAATGGGCATTCTGATGGTTTCCATTTTACTCTAATATAAATAATAATTATCCTTGTGCCTGTCCCTTAGTACACATACATGAGAATTTTTTCCTGGTTTAAGTAAAAGCGGAATTGCTAGATCTTAGGATATATGCACTTTTCAATTTCAACAGGTGTTGACAATATCTGTCCACAGTGGAAACAGCATTCCCACCAGCACGTGAGAGAGTTCTATTTTCTCCACATCATCACCAACATCAGTATTAGACTTCATGTTTGACCATCTGATGAGTGTTAAATTTGTACTTTCTGATTAGTAATAAAGGCCATTCAGCTGTTAATGATCTATGAAAAAAATATGGGAAAATTCTTAGGTTAGATGAGTAAGGTCAGACACAAAATTGTAAATTTAGAAACTCTTAATATTAATTTTTCTTTAAAAAACTATGATTACTTCAAAATAAAACTTTCAAAAAACCCAGAAGGTAATAAACCAAAATGTAACAGTGATTATCACTGGCTGGTATGACTGTTGAAACTTTTCATGTTTTCTTTATTTTATAACAATTTTTTTAACAAGTATGGATTATTTTTATAAACTGGAAAATAAAATAGTTGGGTTAAATCAAAACTGAAAAGTGCTTTAGAGAACCCATATGATTTGACACAGACAACAACAGTACTACTAAGACTTCAATTAGCTTTAAAAATGGATCTAACAAAAATTTTTCAACCTGCCTTTTCCACCTTGTAATACACTATAAATATCTCTTAATGCAATATTTTTCTCTATCACTTTTAACAGTTACAAAGAATTCCACTGTAAAGATGGATTACTTTTATTTTTCCCAAACTCTACTTTGGATAGTTTAATCTAATCTGAATTAGACTGTTTTCAAGTTTGTTTGTTTTTTTGCTACCATAGACAATATGGAAGAATATGTTCACTGCAAAATCTTTATGAACATCTATGATTACTTCTTTCGTACACATTTTTATGAATAGAGTTCTGGGTCAAAGAATATGAGTGTTTTTAAAAAGATTTTTATTTCTTTTTAGACAGAGTGGGAGGAAGAGAAGGAGAGAAACATCAGTGTGTGGTTGCCACTCGTGCGCCCCCCTCTGAGGACCTGGCCTGCAACCTAGGCATGTACCCTAACCAGGAATCAAACTGGTGACCCCTAGGTTCACAGCCCGACACTCAGGCCACTGAGCCACACCAGCCAGGACAGAATATGCGTGTTTTAAAGCTCCTACTGCCTAATGCCAGCTTACCTTCCAAAGTACACTTTTATCACCACAGTATCAGTTATCCTCTTCTCCCTGCTCTAGCCAACATCTGGAACATTCTTACCAACATCTCTTTTGTGGTAGCCAGTTTAATTTGTATTTTTATGACCACCAAGATTTACCTTCCTCCCCAAAGTTTTTGGTAATATGCATTCTTTTATTATTTACCTGTCTTCTTTGTTTTAAAAGTAGTAATTTTTTAATTAGTAATGTATTATTAGAAAAAACAGGGGATTATCTATGGATAATTCTGTGTGAGAACACATGGGTTCTTTAAAACATAATCTTTGTAAAGAAGATTGAAAAAACAGACAAAAGGTTAAAGTCCTTCTCTAAATCCTACCTCCTTCATTTCCACTATGGTAATCACTAGTATAGGCTGGTGTACATTCTTGTGGACTTTTAAATATAAGTGTATTTATGCAATGAAATGCTCTTTGTTCCTAGGTAGCTTTCATTTTTTTGTTGCTATTGAGAATGTAATTCTATTTTTGAACTATTTGTATGAAACAAACACATTTTAAATTTCTATATTAAAAAATAACTTTATTCTCTTGGTTTAAAAAAGTAGTTATATCACCTATAAATAACAACAATTATCTTTAGTTACAGTTAGGTATACTTCTAATTTCTTGTAACAGCTACACTTCTAGAACAATGTTACACAAAAGAGGCACACAGGACAATGTAAGAATGCCTTGTACAATCAACCATGGTTTTGGCTATTCACTTGAAAACAGGTTTTTAATAATCATGTCAAGAAAATACTGTTCCTAAATATAGTTTAGTAAGAATATTTTTAAAAATCAAGAACTGATGTTAAAAGGATTTGGCTTTTAAGACACATTAATGACTAAAAACCCCCACATACAACAGAATATATACTTACGATAATAGATGCTCATCAGGAACTGTAAAACAGGGATGGAAAGAAAGTTACTCATTAACTGCAAACATACTGCATTTTTGGACGGTAAGATGCACCTGCCAAATCTAGGAGGGAAATGGGAGGTGCGTCTTATAGTCCGAATGTAGCTTATCTAGCTTGCGGAGGGTGGGGTGGGGGGTGGCGGCAGTGGAGCAGGGTCACAGGTTATTGAATATTTTACCACATTTTTGGCTTCAAAATTTTTTTCCTATTTTCCTCCTCTAAAACCTAGGTGTGTCTTATGGTCTGATGTGTCTTATAGTCCTAAAAATGCAGAAACCATTGACTGCAAACATAAAAATCTTAAAAACAGCCCTGCCTGGGTAGCTCAGTTGGTTAGAGCATCATCCTGATACACCAAGGTTGTGTGTTCAATATCTAGTCAGGGCGCATACAAGAAACCACCAATGAATGAATAAACAAATGGAACAACAAATTTCTTTCTCTCTCTCTTCCCCCCCTTTCTAAAATCAATGAATAAGATGAATTTTAAAAAAATCTTAAAAAGATTGTAACCAAAAAGACTTTTGTGTAAGATAGTGAATTGAGCCTATGTATCTAATTGTACTCCTTCCCAATATTCCACTAAATAATAAGACTTTTTTTAAAAAAGCATAAACTCCCACTATGGCTGGTACGGCTCAGTGGATTGAGCGCCAGTCTTGGAACGGAGAAGTTGCTGGTTGGATTCCCATTCACAGCACATGCCTGGGTTGCCAGCTGGGTACCCAGTTGGGGACATGTGAGAGGCAGCCAATGGATGTACCTCTTGCACATTGATATTTCTCTCCCTCTTCTTCCCTTCCCCTCTCTGTAAAAGTAAATAAATAAAATCTTAAAAATAAATAAATAAATAAACAAAACTAAGGTGAATAAATAAAATCTTAAAAAATAAAATAAAAAGCATAAACCCCCAACAATACTGACAGGGAGAAACAATACCTAAGATATGTTGGAAAATAATTTATAAGACCTGACAAAAGTGAATCCTAGGCTAGCAAAGATGAGATCCAAGAAACAATCTGATTTACACTCCAGAGTCCACTATCTTCCCCTCAACCGTGCCAAGAAAACCTCTCAGAAACTGGTAGCACCTGATAGCTCTGGAGGTGGGGAGGAAGCAGGGGGATTAAAATAAGACTCTTTGAAAGTAAGTTTAAGAAGCTGGAAGTTGACAAACTGATACTTTCAGAAGCCTGAAGAAATATTATTTCCAACATAAAATTTAATACTTTGCCTATCAATTAAGTGTGAGGATAGAAAAAGAACTTTTCTCAGACATATAAAGTCTCAAAAAGCACATCTCTTATTTTTCTCCAGGAAGTTACTACAGTATGAGTTCTATAAAATAAAGCAGCAAATCAAGAAAAAGAAAATTGTAGAAATACAAGGTTCAACATTGGTGATGGGAATTCCCAGGATAAAAATAGTGAAGGGAAATCTCAAGAGGCAGCTGGGGGAGCAGCCAGTCCCCCTATCAAAGCTAGTCAGAGGGCTCTGGGAGGGACTTCCACAGAAAATGAGATTGATCAAACCTCTCCTTCAGCTGAGCATCTTGAACATAGATTTAGAACAGTGATAATAAATTTGAGGTTGAACTAGGGATACAAAGACAACTAAACAAGCACATATACACAACTACAGCAGCTGTGACTCCAGGGAAAATGGAAAGTTTCACATGAAAGGAAAAGTAATCACAGCTTCCTACATGGCTCAGTTGTTTATATCATCATACAAATGTACTCAGAATCTTGTTCTAAAAACATTATCACTGAAGGATGGGGGTCAGGAAGAATGTATGACTATCTAGCACAAAGATCTTTAAGTAGCAGAAAACAGTTCTGCTGAAAGTAAACACAACAGTGGCAGTGGTCCATCTGTCTGAGCTGTCACACCACCAGGGTGGGTCTTCAAACTTTCCACAGGGGTGGACAAACACGTGTGACACAGCCCTGTCTGGCAACCACAGTTTGGGCTGACAACACATTGACTTTTTCCTTGCCTTTTGGGGGATCAGAACGTGTTTGAATAGCTGGCTGGCCTAATCTTCTAAGTGTGTGTGTATATATATATATATCTCCTTAGTTTTAACTGAAATGAGAAAAAAGATTGGCTTACTCCTCTTAATTCTTTAAAAACAGTGCAGTCCATAGGCCCTGGCCAGTTAGAGTATCCTTCCAATGCTCAAGCTTGTGGGTTTGATCCCCGTCAAAGCACATACATATAAGAATCAACCAACGGATGAATTCATAAGGGGAGCAAATTGATGTTTTTCTCTCTTCCCCTTCCCCTTTCTCTAAAATCAGTAAGTTAAAATTTTTTTAAAAAACCTGCTGTAGTGAATAAGTAATGGCAATTGAGGACTACTTTGCTATTTATTAACTGTCCATTTTTACATAAGTTGAGTAGTTCTAACTAGCCGATGCATTTGACCGCAAAGTATCCTCTTCGTACTGTGTCCTGAGGTCCTCGCGGTGGTTTTGGTGACACAGTCACAGAGCGGGGTCTGTCGGTCGGAGGGGAAAAAGGCACTCTCACAAAAGTCCGACTTACCCCAGTCACTGCCTGTGCACTTGGGTTTTGTGGCCCTAAAATATTTATTTGCTAAAGAAAGTGTATGAGGGGATTAAAGTTAACCTAACATCAAGAGAAAAAGAGTACCGTCCCATTTAACAACTTAATTTGCCTTTCTATGAGCCCCTGCAGGCTTCCGTCCCTCTTCCACCCTCCGGGCCCTGGGTTCTCCCCTGGGCCGCTCACTATCCGATGGGGGGTGCACCCAACAACTACACTGATCCCTGGACACATTTAGCTTTTCTCTTTTCTCCCCTCGCCCACCCCATCCTCCTCCCTTTTTTATTCCTTTCATTTTTTTACGAACCAGGGGATTTGGAGGCAGAACCGCACGGAAAACAACCTGCAGGAACGGGAGGGGAGCGCGGAGGCCAGGACCCGAACGCGGCGCCCCGCGGGCCAGCAAACCGCTGGCTCCCGGCTCCCGGCCCCTGGCCGGACGGGGCCCGCCCACAACCCGCCAAAGAGCCACACGCCTCCGGCCCTCACTTCGCGCGCTGTTCCGCACTGCCGCGGCCATCTCGCTCAGGAGCTCCTCCACGACAGCCGGCAACGTGACCGCCGATGAGGCGACAGCCATGGTTCTACCACCCGCGGCCTCCGACAGCGCAGGGGGAGCACCGTCACTACCGACCCATGGACAGCTAGCCCCCGTCGGGGGCGGTGCCTCGCGGCGCCGTGGCGTTTACTTGCGTCATCACGCAGACGGCCGGCAAGGCTGTCGTTTCTTGGAACGTCACGGCCCTACCACCGCGGCGGGCGTTGCGCTGGGACTGGACGTCTCGGGGTTTGGCTGGTCCTGCAGTGCTCAGAGGACCGGGCGCGGCCATGTACCGGCTTCTGAGCCATAGCGTCGGCCGAGACCTTCTGCGGGCCGCGGGGCGGCGGTGCCGGGTCTGTCCGGCGCACTTGCTCCCGGTGCGGGCCCGGGGCTGGGCACCTGAGGTGGAGGTGCGGCCATTCCGAGTCGCGCCGCAGGGCAGGGGCTCCGGCCTGCTGCCGCTGCTGGCAGGTGAGGGCTGCGGGCCGGGCGGGGCCGGCAGGGCGGGCGGGAGGGGACGGCGTAGGCCGGCCTGGTGACCTCAGAGCCCCTTTCCGCAGCTCTCGCGTGGTTCTCGAGGCCCGCAGCGGAGGAGGAGAAGGAGCGGCCGGGTTCGGCCACCGAGGGTGCGGCAGATGAGGCCGAGGCGGAGATCATCCTGCTGCTGAAGCGGGCCAAGGTGAGGCGGCCTTAGGGATGCGCGTTGCTCTGCCAGTTTGCCGAAGACGAGGCTCCGAGGGCACTAGATGGGTTATGGGTGAGCCGGGCTGTGTTGGAACCCGTCCAGGCTTGTCACACTCGGCGGGGTGCAGTAGAACGCAGCAGTCTCAGATACAGATGGCAGTGGCAACACAGGCATCGTTCTTTTAAACAAAATTAGCAGAAATGTTTTGTAGTTTTGTCGGTGAACCAGCTATCCTGACTAGACGAGCATAATTTTTATGTACAGTATGTGACGTCCTGAAAATGAATTTTAGTGCTGGTTATGAGCTGTTTCGTTATCTGATTTCTAAACTTTTCCTTTTCACCACATTCTTCTATTTTCTCATATCCTTCTTAGGTTATCCCAGCTCTTTTATTGGGTTAACTACCGCCTTGATGCCAACAACATCCAAATTTATATTCCCACGCTGCGCTACTGACATGCCATCTCCCCTTTGAGGCTCTGTCTACCTCTCAGACTTAACTTGTCCCAAACTAAACTCTTGATTTAAAATTTCTCCCCAACACATTTCCTTTACCGTCTTCTCTTTTCTACCATCTACCCAATTTTTCAGCCTGGAAAACTCATAGTCATTCTTAAAACTTCTGGAGCCTTACCACTGCATCCCAATTCTCTTACAGTCCAGCAACAATTCCTTTTGCCACCAAATCCAGAAAGTCAGGCCCCTTTTTTCTATCTTCCCTGCTGTCACCCAGCCATTTTGTCACAGCCTACTGCCTTTGAGTCTCACCTGCCCTATTGACCCTCTACATTTCCATTCTTTGTGCAGCAGCCAGAGTGAGTTTTTAAAAGTAAATTACATCATATCACCTTCTTGCCTAAACATCTTGAATGACTTCCCACTGCATTTATGATCAGATTCAAACTCCTTGCCATGGCCTGCAAGACCCTACGTGGTATCACCCTACCTTGCCAACCCATTTGATAATAATCCTCTGGTTCACCATTTTCCCTTTCACATCTGTTTCTTTTCATTTCTTGAATGGTTTTTAAAGACTCATACTCTTGCCCTGACTGGTGTGGCTCAGTGGATTGAACATCGTCCTGCAAACAGAAAGGTCATTGGTTCAATTCCCAGTCAGGGCACATGCGTGGGTTGGGGGTTATGTCCCAAGTTGAGGGCAGAGGCAACTGAGAGGCTCCTGTGTCAACGGTTCTCTCCCTTTGTTTCTCCCTCCTTCACCCTCTCTATAAAAGTAAATAAAATCTTAAAAAAAAAAAAGAATCATACTTTTCAGCCTGTAAGGCCTTTGCTCATTCCTCACTCTCTGTTTGGGTCATTTCCCCTTACAAATCCTTATTTGGTTGACTCTTTCTCATCCTTCTCTGGCCCTCCCATTTAAAGGAGACCCTTATTGTTCCTTCTTACTACTTTTTTCATAGCTTTTATCATTAGTTGTAATTAAGCTTATTTGTTGTACAGGGTCACTTCCATCCTGCAGAAAGAGAGAAAGAGGATGTAGAGCAAGGAGCTTTTTTACAAAGTATAATGTAAAAATTGCTCACATTCCTTTTGTCTGCATCTGTTGGCCAAAACTTTGTCATATGGCCACACATAGTTGCAAGAGGCTGACCTCCCTGTCAGCATTGCAGACATAATGCTTAATGTACTGTAGGAATTCAGTAAATATTTGATAAAGGAATGAATAGCTTCCTTCTGTGTATTGAGATATATAGCCATATGTTCTTCTCTTTGGTAGGACATGCATGTGCTTTCTTTACCTTTCATTTTCCATGTTTTTCTCTTTTCAGTTGAGCATCATGAAAGATGAGCCAGAAGAGGCTGAGCTAATTTTGCATGACGCACTTCGTCTTGCCTATCAGTGTGATAACAAGAAGGCCATCACTTACACTTATGACTTGGTAACTCACAATCTGAGCCACTGAGAAGGGTATCTGTGGGGGAAGAGTTCTTACTCTCCTTTCTGTCAGGAATGTAAAGCTCTTGGTTTTTGTTTTCACTTTTTGTTTCAATTTTTATTACCCTTGGGGTGTCCCTTAGGAGAAGTTTCAATCCCAGACTAAAAAGAAATAATATCACTAACATTTGTTTCTTCAAGAATGAGTGGATCTATGTTTGGTTTGACATCCACAAAGTATATGCAAGTATTTATTGTCATACCATTGCTGTACTTTGCTAGAGTCTTTAGCTTAAAGGTTAAGAACACAGTGCTCTAAACTGAAAAACAATTTGTAATTTGCTTTCAGATGGCCAACTTAGCATTTATACGGGGTCAGCTTGAAAATGTAAGTAAATCACTTTGTAATATCTTGAATTTGTAAAGGACTAGTTTCACGGGAATGCTATTAGTAAGGGTACAGGCTAAGCCACTATAACAAAGAGACCTCAAAATAGAGTGACATGTGAAGGAGGTTTGTTTCTTTTTAATGTATTAGTCCAAATATCATTAAAACACTGAAGAGGCCCGTGTACCTTTGTCCCGTGCAGTGGTCCAAAAGCCCAGGTTCCTTCTTAGATGTGTCCTCATCTGCATAGATGAGTTTGCTCACCTCCAGCTCGCAGGAAGGGAGAAAGAGAGGATGGAGGGCAAGCAGCTTCCTTATAAAATATGATTTAAAAATTGTTCACATTCCTTCTGTGTGCATCTTTTGGTCAAAACGTTATCGTACGACCTATTCCTAACTGCAAAGGAGGCTGACCTACTAAAAATTGAGGAGATTCTGTAACTGAAAAGATGGAAAGGAGAAGGAATATTAGGGAATAGTTTGCAGTCTCTGCCACAGTAGGTTTGGATGAGAAGTTAATTTCTAAAGTTTCTACTTACAACAGACTAGTTTTTAAGGTGCACGGAGGATGTGGGGTCCAGGTCTTTTAAGTCTGTTTTCCCATCACAAGGATACTTTTCTCTGTGTGTATGTGAATGTGAGTGTGTGTGTTGTGTTTAATAAAGAATGATGCATCAGACTAGTACTTAGAATCCAGGGTCATATAGAGAGTGTGGCCCAAAAAAGTAAAAGAGAAATCTTTTCCTTATGGTTTTAGGCGGAAAAACTTTTTAAAGCAACAATGAGTTACCTGCTTGGAGGGGGTATGCAACAGGTAAGGACATTACCTAGGATTGGGCCCTCCCTAAAGGAGGTTTCAGAATAGTCCTGCATCCTGAAAAAAACTCCACCCAGCCCCAACATTGGCTTTGGCCAAAAAAAGGTAGATTTTCCCCACCTAGGACTTGTATAAAAACTGCCGGTCTTTCACTCACGCAAAAGCATGGTAGCTGAGGAATTCATAGTTGCCTAATTCTTCTGAAAAGATAAAGACTATGGCTTTCAGGCCAAAGTCAATCTGAAGATTGATCTGAAATATTCCATGAGGAATTTTTACTTGTCATGTATTTCCTTCATTTCTCTTTTTCCCAACAGGAAGACAATGCAATCATTGAAATCTCTCTAAAGTTGGCTAGTATCTATGCTGCTCAGAATAGGTGAGTATAGTCAGAATCTAGGTGTGGTGGCAGACTGAGCAAGACTGCAGGCAGAAAACACTTTGACCTTGGGATGTTATATAATTTTCATTTATCTGATAATTATCCCGATCTCAAAAAAACTGGTATCACATTCAAAGTGTTCCCTTCCCTTGTCTTTGCAAAATCTTCAGTCTTTCCTAGTTTTGCCCCTGCTGTTTCTGTTGGCCTGCTGAGTGGGGCATATAGCCCTCAACCCTGGCTGCACAGTGACAAGGCTAATCAGGGACATTATAGTTAGAACTTCAGTTTAGCTCTTGGTAGAGGGGAGGGAGCAACTAAAAGCTACTAGGGATAATAAACTTTGAAGAAATAATTTTGACAGTATCAGTGAATGAGGAAGTTCAAATGAGGAAGAATGAGTGAAGCCTGGTGCCTTTCATTCTTTCTAGGTGTAGATCAAAGAAGAACCACTTAGGATGTAAGCAGAGAACTCTAGAGTGTTACATTTTGGGGTGAGTTTACAGGAAGACCTTACACAAGCTTTTCCTTACGTTGTTAATTGCCACAGAAGCTGGGTCCTGGAGGTTTGGAATGACCTCAAGCCTGGTGCTATAGATTGAGTGTTCACTGAAATAAGGGGCCCTGACCCTGGTCCCCGCTGCCCTGCTCAGCAGCTCCTTCATTCTCAGCAGGAGCAGCTTAGTCTCCCGACTTTTGGTTGGTTGGATATGTGGTAGGCCAGAGCTGCCAAGGGCTTTTCACTTTAAGTCTGTTTTGGAGCTGTGAAGTTGACCCATCTGAGGGAGCATTCCAGCTGAGATCAGTCTCCCTTGGAGGAGTAACAGGACTAGATGTGACTTCCTAGGATGAAAAGAACGCCAAAACTGGTAATACTGAAGAAGGAGACAAAGTCATGGTCTTGTGGGGTGAAAACTTGTGTGGAAACCACTAATCATTTTATAAATTACTCTGTACTCAAGAGTGATTTTTGTTCTGTTTTATTAAGACAAGCATAAGACCAGAAGTTGTTTATAGACACTTAGACCAGGAGCATCTTGTGGCCAGCCTCCCCTGCTCTGTGTTCTGGCTGGGTATCAAGCCATGTCTGCCAAGATGTGGGCCTGGGGAAGCTTCTGTTCTTTTGGGAACAGAGCAGAACAGTGGGGTCATCTCTTCTCCCCGGCAAGGCACCAGGGGGGAGGGGGTGAGCTTTATAGTCCTGCTTCTGGTAAGAAACTGGAGCCAAACAGCAAGAACCAGGATTGAACTTCTGGATGGATAGGGAATTTCCATCATGTTTCTGTGCATGTCTTTACAGAAACCAGCAGTTGACGCTTGCTCTATCCAGAGTCAGTCTGCCTGCTGCTTGGGCGAGGACACAAGGGCTAGAGGGTCCAGGGCTAGAGTCAGGCTAAACGCCTTCTAGTGCCATTTCTGTAGGAGAAACTTGCATCAGAGACCAACAGCTTGGAAGAAATATAAAGGTAATAAACCTCTCCAGAAGTTGTATGAGACCATCAGGCCCCTGGGGCATGCAGGGTGGCCTCAGCCTCCATTTGTGGTGTTACTCTGAGCAGGTGCACGCTTCCAAAGGGGAGAAGTGGACTCGCTCGGAACTGTTAGAGGGAGAGGACAAAGGCTGCTGGTTGTATGGGTTACAAAACTACCGCTGTGGTCCCAGCTCCTTATGTCTTAAGTTACACTAAATGGGTGACTTGGAAAAAATACAGCTTTTGAGAAAGGGCAGATTGACATCGCTCAGAGACTTGAAACAAAATTTCTCTTCCCATCTCACTTTCTTGATAATATCGAAACTGCAGCTGGGAAAATGAGGATAAAAGAAGAGTTTGTGAAAAAACAAATAACAGATTGCTGATCTTTGCTTTACAGACACGAATTTGCTCTTGCTGGCTATGAATTCTGCATTTCAACTCTAGAGGAAAAAATTGAAAGAGAAAAGGAAATAGCAGAAGATATTCTGTCAGGTAGGGATTTCTGGCTCTTTTGCCCAAAAGGATTTCACCATCAGTCTGTGGGAAAGGGAATTGGGGGACAGAAAGTCATCTATTTGGGAAATTAAGTGCTATTTTTAAGGTCTCAGCAGAGGATTTGGAATAAGATATTTTGGTTAAATGACTTGATCACTGTATTTTTTTTAACCCCTTGGTTACATGTTCAACATTTATCTGTTGACTTTTATTATATATAACCTCTGGAAAATTGAGGAGCAGAAAGGGAAGCTTCAGTTACCAGTCACAATTCTAATTAATTGCCTTTGGTCCCAGATAAACACCAAGTTATGTGGTTTTGCAACTCATCCTCAGTGTGGAGGGAAGAGCATAAAGAGTTAAACTAGGAATAGAAAGGGATGGGCCGGAAGCTCTCCAGCTCTAAACCATTTGGGTTTTTTAATATGTTTTAAAATATTGGGAGTTTTCAGATTTGACATTCCTTCTTTCATTCATTTCACACTCTATGCCAAGAGCTTGTAAGATGTTGAAGGGTTAGCAGTCAACTATAGTCTCTAAAGCAATGAGTATGCCTTGAAAGAGTTGTCTCTACTCAGTTGCCTTCTAGTTTTCTCTTGAGCAGAAGCCATTTTTCCATCACTCTACTGAAGCTCTTTTTATGGTTACCAGTTCTCATTCCTTATCTTCCCTGCTGTCCTTACTAGCAGCTCTGACCCAGATGATCACTGTTGCCTGTTGGAAATGTGGATGCTTCCCTGGCTCCTTGCCTTCCCCTTCGCCACTCTCTGAAGTTAACAGACGTCAGGGCTGTCTTCGGCCCTCTTCTCAGTTTCACTCTGCCTCACACCCTAGAAGGTAACATTTAAGCCCCGTAACTTTAATATCAGTTTTACACCTTTAGCCCCAACTTGCGCATGAACTACAGACTCGTGGGTAAGATTGTCTACCTGACATCTTGAATTTCTAAATGGTCACCTCACACTTACCATGTCTGAAACAAACATGGTTTTGGCCATTCACAAATGTGTTTCTCTACCAAGCCTCAGTTTAATAAGTGGTACCACCATTCACCTAGTTGCTTTGGCCAAGAACCTAAGAATCATCTATGATTTCTTCCTTGTTTCTTATATATAATTCACCAACAAATTATATTGTATCATCCCCTTCTCAGACCATGCCTCATCTCATCCTCTCGCCTTGCTGCTTTGGTCCAGGCCATTGCCCTCTCCTGCCTGGATACCTGTAATAGTGTCTCATAGGTTTTCCTGCCTCCCTTTATTCCCTCACATGGTCTGTTTGTGCAGTAGGCAAAGTGATCTTTTAAGAAATCAGTGCTTTTGCATCACCTTTAGAATAAATTCAGAATCTCTGTGTGGATCTATAAGGCCCTACATAATCTGACCCATAACTGCCACTTCTTCATCTTTTGCTCTGCCTCCACTTATTCCATGTTCACCACACAAGTCTTTCTTGCTGTTGTTCATTTCAAGCTCAGTGCTGTCTCCAGCCCTTTTTCCTTGCTGTTCCCTCTGCCTGGCCTGTTCACTTGTACCTTCGCATGGCTGGCTCTCTTCATTTAGTTCTGTGCTCAGATATCACTTCCTTAGGCAGCTTACCCTGATGAAGACTGTCATCTCTTCACACCTTATCATTCATTTCTTCTCTTATTCACACTTAAAAGCAGGTCTGTGTTATGTGCTTGTGTTTGTATTACCACTAAAAGTATATTTTTGTTCAAGTGCTTTTAGTATTTGTCTTCCCTATCAAAGAGAGATAGAGTTCATCTGTTTTATTAACTGCTATATTCTTAGTACCTACAGCTGTGCCTGGCACATAATTGGGACTCAGAAATTGTTGAATGAAAGAATAAAAGACTCAATGAAACAAGTGAAATTTTCTGTGCAGTGTGGAGTGCTTTGAGGAAGTTCACAAAAGATGTAAAAACAAATCTGGCTGTCCATACCCTTTTTGTCTTTCATTTGTTGCATCCACTAAAGACAGTTTCTTAAGACTGTAAAGTTATCTTTTCGGATTCCAAAAGTAATACTAGTGCATTGAAGAAAATTTGGAAACCATTAAGAATAAAGATCATCCATAATCACCCTACTGTTTTTTGTTGTATATCTCTGTAGGCTTGCTTTTGCCCTATGCTATTTACATTTGAAAAAAACTCATTAGGGATCATATTGTATATACTATTTGTAACCTGATTCTTTAAAATTTAGTGATATATTTCATATAAATGACTTACACAATATGACTTGTACCAGTCTTTAATCTTTTTAATATTGCATAGGAATTCTTTGTTTATTTTCTTTGCTTTTGTTAATTTGTAATGAATATTGAGTAGCTGTTTTATGCCAGCTATTGTTCTAGGATTTTCAGAGAGGCAAGTGAGGCAACAGTCCCTGCTCTTGCAGAACTTAGTGCTTAGGAAGGCATTTTCCAGTGTTGAAATCAGATATTTGCTCATTTTTCCTTCTAACTTTTCTTTTTATTTCTATAGAGATAGTCAGTCACCATTATGTGCTTACATATTAAGTATATGCTTGGCTTTCTCTTGGGATTTTCCATTTAGATTATTAATCTGATGAAATTTATAACAGTATACATTGCTTGAGTTATTAATATATGGTATTATATGTTTGAACTATATGGTAATACAGATGCTACTCACAAATGCTACTTTTCCTTTTTATTGAATTTATTGGTGTGATACTGGTTAACAAAATTATACAGGTTTCAGGTGCACAATTCTGTAATACATCATCTGTACATTGTATTTTGTGTTCATTACCCCAAGTTCACAAATGCTACTTTTGCAAAATTTTTTTCTATTTTTATTTTCACATGAATTTGAAATTATTTTGTCAAGTCCCCAAGTGCTTTAAGACTGAGTTGTTAGATTTACATTATATTTATGTTAGTTTGAGGAGCTTGACATCTGAATAAATAAGTTACTGTTTGATTACAAATAGCAGAGAATGTCAAATTAAGTTAAATAGTAATGACACTTATCTTTTGTAACTGGCAAGTGTGCAGAAGGGGCCGGGCTGCTGGGCCAGTTGATGTGTGTATTGCTAAGGTAGGACGGAGGTCCTGCAAGGCTGTCTCTTCCCTCCCCTCCTCACTGGCACACCCTGGGTGTTGGTCTTCTGGTCACCCTCCCACCCCCCTTCCTGTGGTTGGAAAGTGTCCCAGGTCCCAGGCGTCTCACCCAGAAATGCCAACGTCTGGGGGAAAAGGAGACTTATTTGTTTCTTATAGAATGCAGGTCATCTTTTCTGGAAGTCCACAGGTAGATTTATTCTTCCTTTTCATTGATGAGAATTGGGTTTCTTGATATTTCTAACCCAGTCTTTGGCCAGAGAAATGGGATTACCATGATTGGCTAAAACTGGTCCGAATCCATTCCCAATAGAGAGTGGAAATGCCCTCTGCTTGAAAGGAGTGAATACTGGGACAAACTGCAGCATGCTAGCAAGAGAAGTCCCTTACTACACTGTGCAATATTGAGTCTTCCCATTGAGGAACATGGTGTGGTTCTTGCTTACAGATTTATTCACATAGATTTAACATCTATTTAAGTACCTTTGATTCCAAGTGGGTACTTGACTAAACTATTTGCTTTTCATTTGATATTCACATGGTTCCTAGATGTAATTATACATTTGGGAAATCATGAGAATTGTTTCCTTTTAGATGTACTTCTGTGTCTCTCCCCCTTCCCCCATTAAATTTAGTTCATTGGCAATAATCGCAGAACAACATTGAATGATAGTGGTGATGGAAAACTTTGTCTTATAATCTAGTTTGGTGACAACTGTATGAACAGATTTATTATCATACATCTGTAGCAAACCAGGCTTGCTAGTAATTGGTTAATTGTTCAGTATACTGCTGGATGTTAAGTGCTGAGACTTTATGTAGAACTTTTGCATTTATTTTCTTATGAGATCCATAGTTTATTGTGCTTGTCACCACAGGACTGTATTAATGTGATAAGATGAATTGAGATGCTTTCTATGTATTCTGTCTGGGAATAGGTATGGGGTTTACATAGGAATGCTCTATTCCTTCAGAGTTATAGAATCTATGAAACCATATGGGCCAGATCTTTAGAGTTCATTATCCGGCAACTTTTTTTCTTCCTTCCTCTATTACTTCCATTTTTCTTGATTTGATTTCAGTAGCTAGGACAGTGTCAAGAACACAGTGTTGATAAATATCTGTTGAATAAGTGAATGAGTGGGTAAAAGGATTTTGGAGAGCTGTATTTTTCTAGAAGAACTTTTCTTACGGGATTATATTTTGAAAGCATAATTCACAGTATTCTCTATGTACCTGAGAACATACTCCTTTCCCAGTTTTTAGTTTTTAACTAAAAAAGTTACTTAACTTTTCTCAGTTTCCTCATCAACAAGATAATAGTAGAACCTGCCTTATGGAGTTGTTATGGGAATTAAATGCTATAGGACTGTGACTAGAGTTCATTAAATACTATGTAAAAGTTTGCTGGAATGTGATATATTAATGTAATTTATTAAATGAGTTACCTTTTCTATATTATGTTTACCAGTCTGTTTATGAAGGATCATCCTGATTATTTTATTCAGTTTCTCCTTGTCAATTTTGTTAATATTTTAAAAAAGAGCCAATTGGTGGTTTCATTTTCTATATTATTTTACTATTTCATTTATTTCCACTCTTAATCCTTATTATGTCTTCTGCTTGCTTTGGGTTTATTTTGCTCTTTTCTAGTATATTAGGTGGAAGATTTTAGGATATTGATTTAAGATCTTTCTAGTATATATAGGTATTCACAACTATAAATTTCTCTGCTACATCTATACACAAATTTTTTTGTGTTTTCATGTCTCAAAGTATTTTCTGTTCTTAGGATATTTTGGAGTATGTTGATGAATTTCCATATATATGTCCATTCTTCAGATTTTCATCTGCTGATTTCTAAGTTCATTCTCTTGTGGTCAGGGAACATGCTCTGATGATTTCAGTCCTTTTACTGAGACTTATTTTATAGCCCAGTATATGGTTTTTCCTGGAGAATGTTGCATGTGCATTTGAGAGGAAAATGTATTCCGTTATTGTTGGGTGATGTGTTATATATGTCTGTTATGTTTAGCAGGATTCTAGTTTTGCCCAAGTTTTGATGATTTTGTTGTTCTAGGCATAATTTTTGTTTCTGTGATCTTTACACATGTATCTGTGCTGTTTAAACAGTCCTAGATATATCTTCATTGAAGAGATATGTATATACATCATTGACAATATCTTCATCATCTCTTCATCAGAAAGTTTTTTGTCCTATTTGTCACAAGTTTAATTTTACATTGTTGACTATATCTTGCCATTTTTAACTGAGTCATTTGTTATATGTCTTTTGTAGAAGGCTTTGTTTAGATTTTTTAAAAAATATCATTGTCCTGAGATAATCTTAAAACCTTTTTACATCAGTACTAAACGTGATGTTTGGCCTAATTGTTGCATTTAAAAAATATTTTCTATTTTTGTTATTTCTTTTGTTTTCAGGTCCTTATGTCCCTACAGGGATGTTTTCCTCACTAAATCTCCATTTATGTATTTTGAAAGGAAGGCATATGAATGGTTTTCAGTTCTGTTAAGGCTAATCTAAAAGTTTCTTCCAAACATACTTGACTCAGAAAAAAACATTGTTTTCAGTTTCTTCTGTAAGATGAGTACAATTTAACATTCTTTTACCTTTCTCCTTCCCTGTGTGTCTTTTATTCTGTGACCTAGAATTTTAAATTTTTAAATGATTTGGAGAACACTGATTTGTTGTTCCACTTATTTATGCACTCAATAGTTGGTTCCTGTGTGTGCCCCAACTAGGGGCATATCAGGACAATGCTCCACCCAACTGAGCTATTGTACCTAGTATTTATTTTTTAATGCGGTAAGAGGTGGCAATATAATTTTTTCTTCCCCTTATGGACAAGTTTTAGCTCAGAACTGTTCTAGTGGTCTATCCTCTTCTTACTGATTTGTAATGACAGCTCTGTTGAGTTTTCATAGATCAATGAAGTGACTGTTTAATTCTATTAATTTTTAGTTTCATTACTGGTATACCTTTTCCATATTTAGTTCAGTACCTTTTTTTTAATTCATTCAACCAGTCAGTCAAGAAATACAACTGAATGCCTGTTATATGCCACACACATTACTGGGCAGTGAGATACAGCTATAAGTAAAACAGAGTCGCTGCCTCTTAAGAGCTTGATCTGTGTTCTCCAGTTCTACAGGGCATTTGGTGCTTTTACCAGACATTGTGTAATTAGTTTTGTAATGTGTGTCAAGAAGTGCTATATCATTGCAACCTTTATTATTCTTCAAAAAACGGATCTTTAAAATTGTTCTTGAAATTTGGCTTCTGACTTTCCATTTCAGGATACAAATGGCCTGTGGATTATTACTACATTGCTTTTTTTGCACCTTAAAACTTCCTCATTTGCCCTAGACTTGCTTTGCTGTTAACTCATTCTACTTCAGGTCTTATTTTCACATGTATATGCTAAATATTAGTTTCAAACTAAAATAATATACCACATTTTAGTCAATGTGTGGACTCAATTAAGTGGGGAAAAGTTTGTCATTTAATTGGGTGTTGCAGTATTGACCAAATATATATTTCTTATGGGTATTCATTTGGTCTTTGTCCACAGTTCCTGGCTCCCAAACCCTTGGAATTTCTTAAGTGTTGAGAGTAAGCTGGATGCCTTTTGTTATGATAATGAGGCAACTTTTGGAAAGCACCTAAACATTGGGGCTGTTCCGCTAGTGCAGCCAATCTCTGGATTAGCGGGATGGAACTTTTCAGTCACACCAAGTGACCTCTAGGAAGGGGAGAGGGGCTGGAGGTTGAACCAGTTGCCAGTGGTCAGTGTTTAATGCCACGCCTGTGGGATGAAGTCTCCATAAAACCCCAAAATAACAGAGTTTGTAGCACATCTGGGTTGGTGAACTTACAGAGGTGTTGGGACAGGGATGCACCTGATCAGGGCATGGAAGCTCCTCAACCCTTTCTACTGCCTTGCCCAGTGCTTCTCTGTCTGGCTGTTCTTGAGTTATATCCTTTTATAATAAACCAGTAATCAAGTAACATGTTTCTCTAAGTTCTGTGAGCTGCTCTAGCAAATTAATTGAACCCATGGAAGGAATTCTGGGAACCTCTGATTTATAGTCAGTCAGAAGTACAGGTCAACAATCTGGTCTTTCAATTGGCATCCTGAGTTGGAGGGGGTAGTTGGAAATTTGTAGCTACTCTGTCTGAAGAACAGGTAACAAGCTGGACTTGTGACTGGTGTCTCAAGTTGGGGAGGGAGGAAGGCAGTCTTGTAGGACTGAACCATCAACCTGTGGAATCTGATGCTAGCTCTGGGTAGATGGTGTCAGAAGTGAGTTGAATTCTTGGATACCTGGCTGATGCTGAGAATTGCTAGTTGGTGTGGGGAACCCTGTACCTGTCTACACACAAGTTGGAACTGGTTTCAGGAACCGATTTAGATGTTAATTGACCTCAATTGTCAGGCTAGGAGTACTTACGTGACGTGAAATGTTCAGGGGTCCTGTACTGTTAAATATTTGTGGGTCTTGGTAAAAAGAAAAATGTTTAGGGTAGGTTGGCCAGTTCTGACTCACTTTCTGTACTCTACTTGCTATATCACAGCAATGCTCTTATTTCCTTTTTAGTGGATGAGAAAGCCAATACCCACCTCCTCCTTGGCATGTGCTTAGATGCTTATGCTCGCTACCTTCTATTGTCCAAGTATCCGTCACAGGCACAAAAGATGTATGAAAAAGCTTTGCATATTTCTGAAGAAATACTAGGAGAAACACACCCACAGGTAAGCGAGGAAAACAGGTTTCAGAATTTATAGGTGTGCAATGCCACACTCGTTGGGAATAGATAGTCAGCAGATGGTCCCCCATATACCCTCCTCCTTGTGCCCCTAGTCCATTTATTTTCCTGCCACCACTCCTCACCACCCCTAACTACTTGTTTCAGAAAGGATTTGAGACTGCTGATCAATTACTGGATCTGTCCAGAATATTTTGAATGAGTATGAGTTCACACATCAGAGCAACCTTTCTAAAAGGCAGGTCTAGCCAGGCACCTGTGTGCTTCTGGGGTTTCAGAGTACACCGCGCTGTATTTCAGAATGTTGAATCTTATTAGGAACAGCTAAACTCCTGAAGGTCCTTGCCTCCCTTGCCCCATAGGTAAAATGACACGAAAGTGGGGAAAAGGAGGAGAGACTGCATTAAAAAAGTTAGAAACCACTGACAGAATTTAAGTACAGTGTACAAACTTTCTGTTAGAACACTAAACACATTGAATTGAATTGAAATCATCTTGTCTCTCCTTCCAAATTGTTTGTAGAGGTAACAGGTGGATCACTTTGTGAATGCTTGGTATTAGCAACAAAAGAGACAAAAATTTTAACTGGACTGAACATTTCCTAAGGCTGGGGTAGATGGGTGGGGTAAGTAATGGGCTATGAATTATCTTCAGGAAAGGGATGTGTAGGACTTTTTCTAGAGTCCTGTTAATGGAGTATCACTGAGGAATAAGACAAACATGGAATTCAAATCACCAAGTACTATAACTGGGGGCTTAAAGCATGACTTAATGGAGGAGATAGGACCTACCTCTCTTAGTACCAACATTTAAAAACCTCTTAATGGGAGTCACCCTAAAGTGGATAATGGATTTCTTCTTGATGCATCTCAGGGTCACCAACTGGAATGAATTACACTACAGTATGGCTCCAGGGGGCAGCTTTTTAAGATTGCTGAACCTTAAATGGAATATTCTAGCTTTGTGTTGTTATTTTTCATGTTTCTGATATGATAATTAGTTATATTAATAAATAATGTTTAATCTGTTCCCTCGTTTCTGGATTTGTACCGTTTTTCCAGAGGGTCAAAACTAATGCTATCCATTATACACTGTGAATGCTAGAGGCACATATTTGTTACAGGCTGATATCCCTCCCCTTTTGTGGAATGCTAGGAAAGATGAAATTTCAAGTGTATATTCAGTTTATAAAACTCCAAATTGACATTAAATCTGTGTAGGTGTTTTTTTTTTAAGCTCCCTGTGTTTTCTTCCTTGTGTAGACCATTGTGCTGATGAGTGACTTGGCTACCAGCCTGGATGCACAAGGCCACTTGGATGAGGCCAGTTTTTACGTACAGAGGGCATCAGATCTGGCAAGACAAACAGAACATCCTGAGCTACACATGGTGCTCAGTAATCTGGCTGCAATTCTGATGCACAGAGGTAGGGAGGCTGTGACATCTTGATTGACTTGCTTGACTGACCTACCTATAGGGAGGGGTGCTACTGGATTTATAAATTGTGAAATGGTATTTTGGGAGGGCAAGGCTGGGCAGTGAGGAAACTATACAATTAAAACTTAGAGTCCTCTAATTAAAAGGCTGCCTGAATAATACAAAAAAGGATGTGTGTTTGGCTGAAATGCTATTGTGCTCAGTTTACATAACTTTTGTACTCCTGCCTCAGCCTGTTGAACCCACATCATTATAGAGAAAGCTTTGCGATGACAGTGCTTCATTTCTGTAATGCTTTACAGATTTCTAAAGTTTTCACATGTACAATTGAGTATATTCTTACCAGTGTAATTATGAAGCTGCCAAGACAGAATATCAGTTTGACAGACATACTATGCCACAGCACTCAGGGCCTCAACCTACAACTTCCAGAAACCAGGAGTGACAGGTCCTTTTTCAGCAATAGGAAATTTCTTGGCCAGTGAAGTAAGGGCCCCAGGGGTGTGTTGGCAGTCAGGAGTCCTAGAGCACTCACCAAGGTAAGTTCCCAGCACCTGCACCAGCTTACAACCTCTCTCAGTCAGCTTGTCACCTGGGGATGAAATGAGGCAGGACCGGCCTTTTACTTATTAAGTACACAGTAACTTAGGCCTGTATTAAACTAGTGCTTTCTCTTCAGAATCACTTTGAAACACTTTTTTTATTATGTTCTTCCTTCTCTCTGGGTTATTTTAGAACGATATGCACAAGCAAAAGAGATCTACCAGGAAGCACTGAAGCAAGCAGAGCTGAAAAGGGATGAGGTTTCTATACAGCACATTAGGGAAGAATTGGCTGAGCTGTCTAGAAAAAGTAGACCTTTGACTTAAATTTATCAAGCTCTAAATCCCTTTTTGTTCTGGGAATTTTCAATAACAGCTTATAATTCCAGTCTCAGTAGCACCCAAATCAATGGCTTAAATCAGCGATTCTCACCCAGTGTGCCACGAGAATTTTTAAAACAGGCACTAGCTGCCTGTTTAGTCAGGGTCACTGACCTCTTTCCCTTAGACTGTGAAATTAAAAAATGACAATAGCCAACACAACAATAGCTGACTGGTGTGAATAACTCAAAACTATACCTACATTTCTGTCAGGTCGGTGAAAAATAAATTTTTTGGTATGCTGCAGAATTGTAGTGGTTGGTTTATGTGTGCCACAAGGGGGAAAAGGGTTGAAAATCACTGCCTTAAATCCTTTGTCCTTGATAGTTTCTCAATTTAGACTCAGTGAAAGACAAGTTAATACACTGCCACTTTGGTTTTTTAAAGGCCAATCAGCTTTCACCCTGGCTGATTCTGACTTCTGAGGATGTCAGGTGGCACCCTCAGCTGTAGCGTATGGTTGGGTGCTGGCTGTGCTGCCCTAACTGCAGGCCTCTCTGACATAAGCTTTCAGTCTATTGATTTGTTGCCCTCTTTTCTCTTATTTTATCAACATCTGGCAGACCAGAGCTACCTATCTCATGGGAAAAAGGGGATTATGGTGAGTTATTTCTCTTAAAATGTATTTCATGAAGCACAATATGAGATTGAATGCATAAAGGAGGAGGGACAGTAACATCCCGGTTGTCAAATCTGAGCGTTCCACTTCCTTTGCAACCCAGGTCATGGAACAATCATCTGAGGAGCTCTTTTAAGAAATACGTGCCTAGGCTGCACCCAAAACCCTTCTTCCTCAAGGTAGTGCCCTACAAGTATACAGTTTAAAACCTGCCCAGTAGTGCTGATAACGTACTGCAGGTACAGAAGAATCACTGACCTGGATCCTAGTCCTGGTGTTCTGAATTTGGGTCTCAGTATCCTCATTTGTAAAGTAGGGAACAAACAAGAGTCGCGTGTGGCCGTAGGCGATTGTATTTGATTAAATTACCTTAAATGAATAGACTGTCATGCTGAAAGAGCTTTATCATTTTTTCTCAGTGTCTAGAAAATGTGTACAGGTACTCCTCAACTTACTATGGGGTTATGTCCTGATAAACCCATTGTATATTAAAAATACTGTTAAGTCGTCAATGCTTAGGTACACCTAACCCGCTGAATATCAGCTTAGTCCAGCTGGTTTCTATTGAGCACATACTGCTTTTGCAACATCATAAAGTTGAAACATTATTAAGTCGAACCACTGTTAAGTCAGGGACTGTAAATACAAGACTCATAGATGAGGGTTTTAACCTTTGCAGTCTCACAGAGAGACATTTGCAAGGGAAATGCAGTTTCTCTAAGTACCGTGAAGAAACACTGTTACTATTGGTGTTGTGAGTGGGAATGATAAACCTGATATTTTTGGTTCCTGTGTACATACCAGAAAAATCCTTTCACAATAAACTAGATACTCTACCACAATATTGTATGTATTCCATACTCTGTTTTACTAGAGTATGTATTCCATACTCTAGTTTATTCCATAATAAACTAGATACTCTACCACAATATTGTATGTATTCCATACTCTGAGTTTCTCATAAAAAGTAACTTACTGAAGACTTAATAAAAATAAAATACTAGAAACCCTGAGGTCCAAATCCTCAGGGATTAGACTAAAACTGCAATTTCATATTTTGCAGATACAAATTTCTTCCTAGTGTTTAAGTTCATTATATGCATTTACCACTCAGCTAATTCCTTTAATCATCTTAACTCAGAGAGACCAACTGTAATATAAATCAGACTTAAGTTTCAGTGCAGCCCATTCTTCATTTATTGGTGATTTAAAAAAATTATTGTCAACTACTCACCTTCTGCATTGAGAATGTTTTTACCTTTTCACAATTGCAGGGGTTACTGAAAGTTAGGTTTTTCACTTCAGGTTTTATTTGAGAATTTTTGATCCTCCACAATGATTCAACTTGTGGTCCTGGTGCTGGAAAAACTAGGAGTTTTCAGAAAGACAGTTTCTTCATGTGGGTGTTCTCATTCAAGTTCATTCACAATGTAAAACAAGGTAGCAAAGCAGGAGGGCTGACCCATTTACTCATCATGGACTAGCTGTTCAGGGCATATTTTTAAAACAGAATCATTCAGCATACTGAAATTAAAGCATTATGAAACTTTCAGTTATAAACATGCACTGGAAATTGGGCTGTCAGAATATTTCTATGAACAGTATTGGGAAGACTTTAAATTAGGTCTGGATGCTAAGAAATCATGCATAAAGATGTAGCTTCAGAACACTGAAACCTCAGCCTGCAAAAGGCTACACTTTGATTTACAGCTGACTGCAACAGGTCATCACTCACTCCCTGTGCTGTGCTTGCTGCTTTCAGTCATGCTGAGGTGGCCCTTTGTCCCTCCTGGGTTTGTTCCATAGGTAAGGCATGTGTGAATTCTGTCCTTTCATTGTTCTGAACTAAGCAATAGTACTGCATTTTACCTCCCAGTCTGAAACCTCTTCTCTAGGTGAGGTGCCGGTAGATGAAGTAACACACGCATTGTGATAAGGTTTGGGTGAGGGATTAACAAGCTACCCACTTTGGGGCCTTCAAGTGAAACTGCAAAAGTTATCAGGTTAGGCTCTGATTTGACATGTTCCCAAAAACGATTCTGATTTGGAAGAGGTTAAGACCCTCAGGGTCATAAGAAAAATACCATCATAATCTCTTCTAGGTCAGTTGATAATATAAATTATTAATGATGTCAGCACCTAAAAAATTTCAGCAGAACACTTACGAAGAACATTGTTATTGTTGTTTCATTCTCATTAAAATGTATACGATATATATCTATAATAAAGTGATTCCAGCTTTCCTAGTAGTAGGAATCTGTTTGCTAAAATCCGATCTAAATTTTATTTTGAGGACCTCAAGTATACGAGAGTGGAACAGTAACAGGAGCGAAGGCTTTAACTTCAGGCAAACAAATTTATGGCCTATCTTTGTCACTTATTTAACTTCATGGGCAAAGTGTTGAACCTGTGCCCTTATCTGTGAAATGGGGACTGGACACCAGTGCTACTGGGCTATGTGAAGGTTGCGATCACACACACAAGACACTTCATCACAAAGAAGGCAGTCAGTGGTCACCATAGATCTGTTTTCTTTAGAGGCTTGAGTGCTCTTGTTAAAAAGTTTAGGTCTATTTAGAAGTCTGTAAAGTGCTGATTTTTACCTTCCTGAGAGACCTCTATTTCTCCCCCTTCTAAATCAGTGGCATTCTCCCAAAACTGTTTAACATCTATATGCTACAGCAGGAAGCTTCAATGCTAAGTTACGTTGGGAAAAAAATCTAAAAATTCTAAAAGCAATAATTAATGAATAAAATTGACCTTCTAGTACCATAATCAGTTTAAAATTCAGTCTTACATTATTTGCTCCTTGAGATTCAGTGAAATGAAAACATTCAACAACAAACTCTTGCCAACAAGGAATCAAAGTGAGAGGAAGCACTGGCACACAGAGAAGGGGAACGGACCCAGAAGGTTCAGGATGTGCAGCACAAAGTGACTGTAAGTGACTGAGGCTCTATACAAATCATTATCTTCTAACTCAGCCAATAATATATAAACAAAACTAAATAAAAGTATAAGTTTTTCCTTTGAGACCTGAGACAGCAAGAGCCTTAAATCATAATCTACTATACCCATGGACAGGGTAGTCAAATTCATTTCAAAGCAAAAGCTTTGTTGTGCTGCATCAAATGCAGGATAAAAAGAATACTTAGGGGCATGGTTAAGTTACCAGTGTGTATAATAGTGAGGTATGCCTCAAAAAAGCCTTTAAAACTTAAAAAACTGAACTATAACATACCCATGCAGTAACAGTTATTAAGTGCTGCTAATTAAAAAAAATTTAAGCCTGCACTGGAAATTTACAATATGGTAGAATTTTGTTTCTTCTACCTTTTGACCATAACATGTCAATATACAGCTTTTATGACAGGGTCTGGCTAAAAATCTTAACATTTCCACAAGATTTTACATATCACCTGGGAACCTGAATTTAGAGGAAACAAAATAGAATAAAAGTACAATGCCCGTGACAGCCAAAATTATGTAACTGGTCTGTTTGAGGTTGTTTCGAAGGCAAGAGTTAAAAAGATTTTTAAAAATTACCCCCAAAGTTGATGCTGACTTGAACATAAGTACACCAGATACTACAGCAAGGGGAACCACTGCAAAAGATAATCTATTTACAGAAGAGTGATTTAAAGACATTATGGTTTTCTTTACAGATGTAAGAACAAGAATTGTCCACTTTTAAAAAATTCGGCCTTCTACTATTACAATCCACTGAACTCCCTGTATCAAAAGCAGTTTTTCTTCATTTCTCTCTGTATTTCCATCATTTCATCAATCCATGGTCCAGGCTCTCCTGAAAAGTCTCTGGGCATAAGTCATGGGAAGGCAGGTTTTTGACCTGCAATTAAAAATAAAACCAGCAGAAACTAGATCCCTCCCCCATACCCTGGCCCCACCAAGACCCCCTTTCTGCGCAGTTCAATCATCACTATCTGACAGTGTCTCATACTGTGCCGAGAGCAGTGGGGCTGGCTCTCGCTCCCAGATCCTGTTCTGTTGGTGAGGAGCTGCTGGGTTCACAGAAGAGGAGGCGCATGCAATCGATGTCGGTGGTGTGCTGCTGAGCATCCGCATGGTCAGAGGGTTATAAGGAAACTGAGTTGAGCCTGGCAAAAATAAAAATTAGGTTCTCATTGTCATGAGCATAGTTGCTATTTCACCCAACTTTCACTGGAGGGAGGAGGACAGGGTTATACTGAAATGGTCTTGTGAAACTAAGCAAAATGAAACAATATAGAAGGGCCAAGGATTCACCACTTAAACAGTAGCCAGTGATAATGCAACAGTCAGTCTAGACAGGACAAATAACACAAACACATGAGGTGAGGGTTGCTGAGCCCAGAAATAAAAGCTCAGGCCTGGATTTTTAGTTGTTATGTCTAGAACTAGGTGTTTCCATAGAGAATCCAAGTAGAATTACTGGATATTACGCTCTAACCAAAAGACTCTGGTTGTACTAAGAACTTGACTCTTAAAGATAAATTCAGGGTACAGTTCTCACAGGATGACAGGGAAAAATACCCAGGAATTTCAGCAGGTCAAGGGGCAGCAGGATGCATGTCACCTGGTGGATCTCACTGGGCAGGTTTATAAATGTACAAGATTAAGAAGGAGGAAACATAAACCTAAGGACAGCACTGCTACCAGTTGTCAATTTCTAGATTTTTTTACTGTCCCCAGAAAGCCTCCTACAGCTTAAGAAACTCTTAACAGGAAACATACCATTTTATCAAGTGATTTCATGAATGGTTTAATAATTCCTTTTCTAAAAGACATTTGAGAACAATCACTGATCTATGTTATAAGTTTTCAGACTAGTACATAACCACTTTACATGTGGTGTGAGAACTTTAGAAACCAGAAAGCCTTAAATTATGCTGATATAACATCTGTATGAAATTTGTATGTCTTAAGAAGGGGGGGAAATCTCAGATTTTTTCATTGACATTTACGTATATTTAACCCCTAAGAAAAGTATGGCTTATAATTCTCTGAAAACTTAAATCCACAGCAAACATCCTAATTTTATTTTTATAAAAATGAGAAGTCTGTTCCTTTTTTAAGACTACATTATGGTTATTATGTTTTAAAAGCTTACAAACAGGTACAAAATGGGAAGCATTTACTAAATATCCTAGATATTTTCCTAGATATTTAGGAAATATCCTAGATATTTTCATCCGTCTGTATAGACATAGTGAACCTAAAGAAAGATAGTGGCTTTTTAAACTATTCTTCCCATTTCTGACTTTAATGTTCTAGTGTTCCCTAAGAACCTATTGGGATGTCCAACCTTTTGGTGTCTCTGGGCCACACAGTAAATACATTGTGGTACGTAATAACAAAATCTCATAATGTTTTACGTAAACTTATGATTTTGTGTTGGGCCGGATTCACAGCCATTCTGAGCCGCATGCAGCCTGTGGGCTGTGGGTTGGACGCCCTGTATGAAAGGGTAAAGGTGAAGCTGCTGTGGAAGTGGCACTTTACAGTTAGGTAGAGTTCACAGAAGAACTGAACCCATAGACTTACTTGTTTTGCAAACAGCAGATGATGGCTACCGGCATAATACAGAAAAGAGGGGGGTGGATACGATATTTTTTTCATAACTCTTCCTTTGTTCATGGTAATCAGACCTTGCATTCTTAAAATTTTTAAGGTTATATGTATTCAATTTCTATTATGGAAAGTAAACCTATTGATGATATAGTAATGGAAATAATAGTTTCACAAGCAAAGTTTCTGATTGGTTAGAAGTACTAACCAAGTACTAACCATATAAACTACATTAAGACTAATTTTCTAGCAGTGAGCTCCTCACCTGTTGAGGAGGGCCTGTCTTCCCAGGCCCATCCTGGCGTCTGCCTGTGGTAATCCCCTTCGGAATGCACAGAGGAGACTGAAGAGGGTCGCTCAGTTCCCAGGTAGCCTTGCCCAGGGATAGGAGATTTAGATTTCCTACTGTTTGACTTGCTGATCAGCTTTGGTTTGCACACTCCTCCTAAAAGTGAAATAAGTTATTAATTGTTGATCTATAGTAACTATGTTCTCAACTTAAAAACCTACCAAAACACTGACAGTTACATAATGCTAAATGAAAGAAGAACCTAGATCCTACTATCCAGTGAAGTAAAAATATAAGCCGGAATATACTTATGGGACTAAAGCAAGAAAAGGGGTAGGTCCTCATGCTATAAATTTAAAAACATGCAACCAAGGAACTAAAATTTGCAGAATATTTCTTTCCTGGCCTTGGGGCACAAAAACTGCTAAGGAAATTAGAACAGGCTGACAAAATTCTTAAATCTGCACTACCTCCTCCCCCACCAACTTACAGAGAAGCATACAGAGGAGTTATTACACTGACCTGGAGAAGACAGGTCAAAGGAAAAAACCTAGACCAGAGAATCCTTCTTGGTACTACTGGGCCTCAGCAGAAAGAAAAGGTGCTTCCTATACTGCACTGAAGAAAAACTTCAAAATATATGAATACAGTTTATAAAAAAACTTGATAAGCCAAGAATGAGGTGAAAAGGCTTAGGAAACAAAATACAGCAAGGATCAGACCAGATATAATAAAAGGGAATTATAAGTATAAAGGAAAAAAACAGATACAGGAAAAGCAACAGAAAGAGATGAAGATAACAAATAATTAGAAAATAACAGACAAGGAGGACGGAGACTATCCAGCAAAAAGATAACCATTTCTGAAAAAGAGAAAGTCTAACCAAAGAAACAAAATGACTAAGAGGAACACTATTTCCCTGAGTATAAAAATCTACCTGAAACTGCAGATGCCCTCCTGTGATCAGGAAAATCTGATACAGAATGATGAATACCAATACATGCTGATAGTTAATTTATTAAATTGAGGAAAAAAGGATTCTTTAGACAGAAAAATTGTCATCCACCAAAAGTAGGGGGTGGGGTGGGAGAGGGGAGAAACATCTAGCCTTATTTCTTATATGACAGTGAGTGCCAGTATAAAAAAAGTAAATCGTGTTTTGAAAAATGTGTTAAAATTATAACCTGCATGTTTTGAGAAAAGTATGTGCTAAGAAAATTATAACCTGCCAAACTGTTTTTTTCAAATATAAAGGCAACAACAAAAAAATTTATCAAGCATTAGATTTCTTGGAATATAATATCCTTTGTGAGAAAATGGAGTGTGAAAACCTTACCAAAAAGAAATGCCATAATAAAAAGATCATACAACCAGGATAATTATAATTGTGTAACAGTCACTAATATTATAACCTTGAAATACACATGCACTTAAAAAATCATTAAAAATTGGAATGTAAGAGCAGAAAGGGGAAGGCACAGCTCATCTTTCAAAGCAGGAAATGAATCCATATTGTCCTAAAATTAATGTATATAGGTAAAAACAATATTTCTAATCTCTTTACCTTTTTCTTAACTTTAGTGCAGTCTTTTGCTTGACAATAACAGGAGAATTAAACCTGAAGTAATGCTGACCTTCAGGTAAATTATTTCATTCTTTATCATCCTTTTATGTGTGTCTGTCAGTGGACATGTCTGGAACAATGCTCATTCCTCAAACAATAGCAGAAGCTTTCTGGATAATATGATCTCTGAAGGGCTCCCCCCACTTTTTTCCCCTTACTGTTTCTTCAAGGATAAAATTCTTTTATTCTGAACCTATCATTTTTATTACAATAGCCACTTCTATTCAAAAGCAGAATATGAAATTGTACTTGTATTATAATTATAATGTATAATTATCCTTATACATAGAGATAAGGATTAGATGCAAACAAAAGTAAAAACAAATATGTGGGAGGCTGACATTCTGGGGGGAAAATTTTTGTCCATATTTATTTCTGTTCATGCTACTAAAATGAGCAGGTTAAAAAACTTTTTTTAAAGTAACTAAAATCCTCAGAGGTTATTCTGAACACAGAAGTGAGTAGTTGGCTTTTTCTTGGGAAAGCAAACATAAGAGCATGAGAAAAACCTTACCTGAGTGAGGTGACGGGTCCTCCTCTTCTCTCCGAGTTTCACCACTGGTCATGACGGAAGTGTTAGCACCACCAGGCACTACTCCCACAGTCTGGGACATGACAATGCCGTGGTCCTCTACCTTGTCATCAAAGCTTCCCATGAGAGCCTTCCTGATAATGTCTTCTAGACCAAGGTTACTGGCAGGATCAGCAAAAGAATGACCTCTAGTGCTAACTGAGCCTGAAGAGATAACCATAACATTTCTGCTTATTTCTGAGAGGTTGATTGGGAAACAAATGAACAGACTACATACAGTCCTTTGGTTCACTAGATACACACAACACAGTGGTACCTCAGTACTTGTCATTAATTCATTCCAGAACTTGTGATGAGTGCCAAAACCAGTGAGTACCAAATGATGAAGTATTTTCTCTTGCGGGGTGGCATCATGACTCACACAAGTTCTAGCAAGTGTGATGAGTCCTGAGCAAGCGCCCAGTGCTGAAACATTTTTTTTTTCTTGCCAAAATATGACGATTACAAGGTTTGACAAGTTCTGAGGTTGACGAGTACCAAGGTATGACTATACCTGACAAGCTACCTAAAACACCACTAAGAGCCCACATAAATACCATGTAAATTCACCAATAATGCAAGGAAGTTTGTTTTTCTTGGCTAATTGAATCAGTCACCTACTTCTGTTAAATTTACTAAAACAGTTTTCTATTTTCAGTTTCCTAGTTTCTGCACTGTTAATAGTTTTGCTTCTCTTTGTTCACTTATCTTTCTAACATGTATTTATTGAATCTCAATTCACTATTTTAAAAATGCTCACCCAAGAACATGCTTATTGCTTTTAGACAGAGGGAAAGAAAGGAGGAGAGGGAGAGAAACATCATTGTGAGAGAAAGACATCAATCTGTTGCCTCTCCTATGTGCACCCACCAAGGACTGAACTGCAAATCCAGGCATGTGCCCTGACTGAGAATTGAACCCACAGCCCTTCAGTTGATGATGGGATGATGCTTCAACCAAGGGATCCACACAGGCCAGGGCTTATTCACTTTTTATTGATACTGTCTCCTTGATTAAGTTATGAGCTTTTATTCATTTTTCTGTACTGGAGTAGTCCCCCCACTATGCAGTCAGTACTCAATACTATCTGTTGGATTGACTGCTACCCTACCGATTTCATATTGCAAATAATGTATTTTGAACCTTACCTGAGGTAGTGACTGCTGGCAGATTAAATATCTCAGTTCCTGGTTGAGCAGCTGCTGTATTTAAATAAATAGTCAAGTTAATTGAGATGTGATAATCATGGACATAAAGAGAGATCAGATCTCAAAAAATTCTTTAATAAAATTAACCATTTTTTCTTCATGACCTCAACTTTATATTTCACCCATTAATATAAAGTGAAATAAATAATATTTTTTTTAAAGAAAGGAAATCAGGAAATTTTCCACTGGGTGAGGTGGAAAATCAGAACAGGACTAATATAATCCAGAGGAAGAAAAGAAACTTTGTACTGCTGGAGAAACACAAACAGGAAGAAGTTGGTCTAAGAACAGGAATCCAGATTATTTAGAAGACAAAGCTTGTATTTGAAGATGACCCCTACAAAAATATAAACCAGGTTTGAGGAAACCTGAGATTAGATCAAGGGTAAAGACAGCTTAATGACTAGTATGAAAATGACTTTGTGTTTCTCTACCATGGTTAACTGGAAACTATTCATACGAAACCAAGTTAAGACAAAGATTCTGCATGTTGATTCTTTTCATTCCTGCCAACCGAACAATCTTAATCTGTACAATTTGAATGACAACAGCTGGGACAACTGGGGACTACTTATAAAGCACTGTGCCAGAAATAGAAGGAATTTGGGGACATAAATGGTGTTTTTCAGCACGTCTTCCAACTTTATGTAGACGATTTGAAAAAGGAAGAATGTAAGAAGTGGGTGTTGAAACAAATGATATTCCAAAGACTATATTTTAGATGAGACCACAGAATGATGGGTTCTTACCTAGGGATGAAACCTACTTGTGAAGATGGGGAGTACATGTGCCCAGAAATGAACTTTCTTCATTAGGGAAACTTTAAGCTGGCAAGAGGAGAAAAATCTTCAGGAAGAACTATAAAACAATAACTATGATGACAATCTCCTTACTTATGTAACACTCAACCTGAAATAACATAAATTTGTGGGATAGGACTCATTCATTCATTTTACAGATATTTATCGAGCTATTATTTTGTTGAATCATAATAAAATCACTTTATTGATAAAAAATGGCCAGGTGAAAACAATTTCATATCCTACAGCCAAAGATAATACTGTAAGATAATGGACTTACAAGGCACTTCTTTTACCTATGGAGCTTACAGTTAAGTGGTTCAATGTGGTGTTAGGGCCATCAAATCAGAATCACCTGGCTAGTTTAGTAAAAGTACTTTCCTAGATTCTCGGGACCTGTAATTCACATATTTAACAAGCAATCCAGATGGCTGCGATGGATATGATATTCAAGCTTGAGCACCTCTGGTTTAAAGCAGATGGGAAAACTCCCCCCCCCCGCCCCCGCAAAAAGCTTTCTTGTTTCCATTTAGTCCAATGCATGGGAGAGGGAGGGCTCCAGTGTGGTTACAAGGAGACCTAGTGGTTTCAGGGAGAGGCTTGGGCAGAAGCCAGACACCAGGGGGACACATAAGGGCCCCTCAAAGGCCTCTAGTTGTGCTTGAGGGGGAGCCTTTTGAAGAGACTCTCACCCATCCAGCCTGGGGGCTGGCCGGCTGGCCTGTGGAGGTAAGTCAGGTGGTCATCCATATTCCTGGATGAGGAAGTGGTTCTCCAGAAAGTCACAGAAATGAGGGTCTGTGCAGACAGAACCCAGGGCCTACAGATCCACAAGTGTCTGGGTCAGGTTCTTCTCTAAGGCCAATGGCTTCCCTGACATCCTGAGTATCACCCTACTCATCTTGGGAAGGCTTCAGCACGTCCCGGAAGAGAATGCAGCCACAGTGGTGGTTCTGCACCTTTAAGAGAGATTCTCAGTGCCCTTGCGCTTCTTCTCAGCTGACTCTCGGAAGTGGCCCACACTCTGCAGAGTCACAGCACATCAATGGGAATAGAAGCCAAGACAGAGGTAGGTGTAGGAGGCCTGCAGATGCAGGTTGACGAGGTGGTTGATGGCATCCTCCACCTAGGTGGAGTAATTCTGATGAACTTGGGAGCTCATGGTTGTTCGGCAATGAGTTTAAGGTCAAAAATGGTGTTGGTTGGTCTCGGAAGCTGAGGATGGCCTAGGTAGTTCTGGCAGTGACTAGAAAAGAGGTTGGAGGGTGATCAAAGGCTGGAAGAAGGGGCGTCCTAGGTCTGTTCTGTCCAAATAGGATCTGTTGAAGTGAGAGAGAAATCCCTGGTATGCTGAGGGCACTCCAGATGGGCAAACTTGTGAGAGTATGTAATTACTCAAAAAAGGGGAAAGATAGATATTTGAGCTGTTTAGGGGGCAGACCTGGAGGAGGTAGTACCATCAGCAGGTACGGAAAGCAGGAGAGGGAACTGCCAAGAAAGTAACTTAGTGGAGCCACCATAAAGGTGAACTTGGTAGGGAAAGGAGGAAGAGCAGATTTTTTCATGCGGAAAGGTACGTTAATTCAGTGTCTAAACATTGAAGGAGACATTTATTCAAGAAGAAGTGAAGTCTGCAAAGTAGAAAAAGTTGAACTCCAGATAGAAGTTGGGGAGTTTTCAACATAGTTTAAACTCCCAGAGTTGATGAAATAAATCAGAAAGGTTAGTTGCCTGAGGAGAAAACTAGGAAAACCAACATTCAAGGACTAGGCAAAGCAAGACTGAGCTTCTAAGGAGACATGAGAAATGGCCAAACAAGTAGGGAAAAAAAAACCCAAGATAAAGTAGTATCTGAAAACCAAGAGAAAAAGACTCCTGAAGAGGGAAGTGGTTCACTATTATCAGCAGGCACAGAGAGATCGAATAAAGTATGGGTCAAAGCCATGGCACCGGGGTCCTCTGTGGGAGCCCTGAGCTGAGGCAGGAGCCTGTGGGGGTCAGATCAGCAAAAAATATTTTTCTTGGTGCACTGCAGAATTTTAGTAAATAGTTTATATGTGCCATGAGATGAAAAAGGCTAAAAATCACTGTTTAACCCAATTCCTTAACTGTCCCCTTCCATAATCAAAATGACTTGCAATCAGAAAACCCCAGACTTAAGCAATTTTGTTAGTACTTTCCTTAAAACATTAATACACTTTACTTTCTGTTAAACTTAGATACTTGTTTCATTATTTTCAGAGATTAGAGACCATCTATCACCCTGAAAGCATCCAACATACTAACCTGCTCAATAAATAAATTAATGAATGAGAGAGCTAAGAACAATGGAAAATAAGAGAAAACTATAGGCTTAATTCATATGTGGCATTTTCCTGTTAATTTTTTCCCCACTGAAATGGCAACACAAAGACTACAGAGGATGGGGTCAAACCATACAAAGGTGAGACAAGGCTTAACCACTGGCTGCTCTGAAGCCTCTGTGTCTCCATGCTCAGATTCCTCTCTGGGTTCTGAGAGAATCTGAACATGACAACTCCAGATTTTTTGCTGGTGACATTTGAGGAGCTATAAATAGATGAAACCATTGAACTGAAGACAGATAAATGTAATGACATTTTTTAAAAAGAAGAAGAAAAAATACTATATAAGCCTGATAGCAGTTCTGGTCAACATTCTCAACAGGTATCTAACCTTGTGGCATTTCTGGGCCACAATGGAAGAGTTGTCTTGGACCACATATTAAATACATTATGACACATAATCACAAAAAAAAATCTCATCATGTTTTAAGTTACTATTTTGTGTTGGGCAGCATTCACAGCCATGCTGGGCTCCATGCGGCCTGCGGGCTGTAGGTTGGGCACCCAACCAACCCACGCCCTACAATGGCTATGAATGTGGCCCAACACAAAACTATAAATATACTTAAAACCTTTTTTTTGCTCATCAGTTTTTGTTAGTGTTTGTTTACTTGCTCTATCTATCATCCATCTATCTATCTATCTATGGCCCAAAACAACTGTTCTTTCACTGTGGCCCAGAGAAGCCAAAAGGTTGGACACCCTTGTTTTCCATGATTTGTTGCCACTTAAGATAACCTGGTAATTAAGAGCTGGGGTAAGTTCACAAATAATAAGTGACACTGGTCTCATTCTTTTCCCCCTTTGCCACTCAACATTTATTAATCACCTAGTGTCACAGATCCACACACCCACCTGGCAGTTAAAAGTGCACAGGCCACAGTTTCTTTGGACAGAGTCAGGAGACTAAATCACAAAAAGAGGAGAGTGTGGTGTACCCAGATTTCTGCAAGGCATCCAACAAAGCCTCTGCAACACTGGATATACTCGAGTAAAAGGTGGGTAAGTTAAGACTGGGTGATAGCATTGGATTGCCCAAAAGGTCCATTACATTTTTTCTGTAAAATAAAAGACACTTTTCACCAATAACTTCACTGATTGGGGTATTTTGAGTATGTAGGCTATCTCTTGCTATTGGTTTACAGTGGGTAGAGGCCAGGGATGCTGCTAAACATTTTCCAATGCCTTAGACAACCCACAGCAAAGGATTATTTGGCCAAAATGTCAGTAGTACCAAGAAACTTCGCAAACTACTTTTGACACGTTCAATCAGTTACAGCACCTTCTCCATACGCTGCACAAATCTTTTTTGTGTGTTTCAGTTGCATTTTTACCCTTCTTGAAATAATAAAGCATAACATGCTGAAAATGTTGGGTGTCTTCCATCTTCAATATTGAAATGGCTGCACAAAAATTTACTTGTCTTAAGAAGTATTTTTTAATGCATACTGCTATTGACAGCTGTCACCACACAATCTAACAAAATTGTTTCAAAATGAAGTTAAAAACAACTAAACACTATATTAGAACTATCATATGGAAAAAATGTAACGGACTTTTTGGCCCACCTAGTAGTGTAAGTGAATGTACTAAATAACAGTATGAAGAAGATTCTGATTAAGGCATATTTACCAACCCAAAGGAAAGGTTGGGATGCCACAAAGCTTTATCCTAGTACATATTTACCAAAGATCTGGGTAATGATGATGCTGTAAGTACAGAACTGTGGAAGCATGGACTCAGCAGTTGGAATGCCTGAGTTTGAACCACA